ATCCCTGGGCCAAATTCAGACCTGTTGTAAGAAGCTGACACTCCACTGATTTCAGCTAAACAGCACCCATGTATACTAGGTCTGAATTAGCCCATGTATTTAGGCTACACCCAGAGACCAGGGTACACATTGGTGAGAGGTTTCAGAGTAGCAGCCGTGTTAGTCTCTAAGGTGCCACAAGTCCTCCTTTTCTTATTGGTGAGAGGGATACACTCAAGGACAGCGCTTGCCCCGGGTACATCCAGGGCCTGCACTTAGGGCTGGAGGTGCCTCCGGGGAGTCGGGTGCACTTGGGGTTTCTGGGTCAAGACTGACTCCATGATGTTTGTGCTTGCCAGGCACGTCGTGCTCTGTGTGAGGCTGGACTGATTGAGGGGCAGAAACGACTCAGCAACCGGACCCCTAAACCACCAGAGAATCCCATGGCCACCACACCCTTTGCCGATTATTATGAACTAGGTTACAACCTGAGGTCAAACATCTTCCAAGGTGAGGGGCCTTCCATTTCTACCCCTAGATGTCCCTATACTATTTGCATTGCCCCTGGGTTCCTGCATTGGTCTGTGTGTCTCTTTAACTATACCTCTCCCTCCCCTTCCTCTCTCCCCTCTTGTTCAGAGCACTCCTGTAGCAGGATACAGGGGGAAAGGAGGGATGACTATGGGTCCCCTTTTTACCCATTCCCCCTTTTCCTTATCTTCCCCCCCTCTTCCTTCTTTCCAACCAGCAACAGCGAGGCATGAGGGTCCAGCACGACCACCCATCTCCCCGCCATTCGAAAGCTGCCTGGATAGTAGCTTTTGCAGTCAAATGTCTCAAGTTAATAGCTCCAGTTCAAATTACACGCTTGTTCCTCTTTGAGGCCTTCTCAGACATGGTGTTCTGAAGCCTCTCCCCCAAGTCGCTGTGCCTCCAGAGTCCTCAGTGATCCCTCTATCTGATCACATCAGACTGGGGAGCGATATACTGCTCTCACCAGCATGGTATTGGAGTGCCTTTTGTGCATGCACCCAATGCCTCACGAGCCGGATGATGATTATTATGTAGTGTGCCCGGTGGTAGCATGTAGGAATCTCAGTCAAGAATTGGGACCTTTGTGTAGCCAGGTAAAATGAAGACAGTCCCTCCCTCAGGAAACTCACACTTGGCATCAACCAGTGGCTAACAGCCAAGAGCAGGTCTGGGTGGCTTGGGAGGAGGAGGGAATAATGAAACCAAAAAGAGCTGAGCAGGGCTAGAAGGGACCGAGAGAAGTCACAACTCACCATTGCCTAGCCAGGGCCAGATGGGAGTGATCTGGAGGGCCCATGGCCGAGATAGGTTTGAAGGAGGGATTTAAGAGGGTCAGATGATGGCTTTGCGAGTTACATCCAGGTATTGGGAGCAGTAGGGGAGCGTGCAGTAGGGGAGCGTGCACATAAGTGCTTGAGGGAAATGTAGACCTTGGGACATGACTCAAAATGATGCTCCATCATGGGCCTGCTCTACCTAAGGGCAGGCAGTACTAGCAGACAAAGTGCAAGAATGCACTGGACAGAGGCCAAGTGGTCGCAGAGCCATACCACAGACCCCATCAGAACACATGGCTGAGTCAAATCCAAATGAAAGTGCTAATGTCAGCTGTGTATCCCTTTTCTCTCCCTTCCTCTCCCCCTTTGGCTGCGGGTACACGTCACTGGTGCCAGCAGCAGAGTTGCTTGTGGTAACAAATTCCTGCACATTCGGTTTCTTGCAGGTGGCCCAATAGAGAGTAAGAGCCTGATGAAGGATTCCTATACTCCAGATGTGATTCAAAGGGCAGTCAGAGACCCCAAACACTGGCATGGAAGGAAAACTGATGACCTAGGTAAGGCTCCTGTCATGAGCAAGCAACTGATGCACTTCAGAACTGGGCACGGACTAAGAATGGGTTAGAGATGGGCATTGTCACAGGAGGAGAGCCATTGAGCTAGGGCAGAGCACTGCCACAGGCAGGTGGAAGTTATTAAGCCTGGTTCTTACCCACAGGGAGAGCGGTATCATTAGGAATGAAGCAGCAATTGAACTGTGGTTTGTCTTCTTTATAGGGCGATGGCACCAGAAAAATGCCCTAAACCTTAACCTGCAAAAAGCTTTGGAGCAGAAATATGGGGAGAAGACCAAAGGTACCAAATCTTAGAAGGCAAAAGACAGAGAAGCGAGCCACTCTCCAAGAGGGACCCTGCTCTCCCTGACGCTAGAATAAACCTCTGTGCAGCCTCGATCGGTGTGCTTGCTGAGCAGCGGCAATGCGAGTGGCAGGAAGAGAACTGGGCGATCAGCTGGCAGAAACACAATGGCAAAGCCTTTTATCACAGGGAAAGGGAGGGAGAGTCTTTGGGGGCAGCAGCGTGTGAGAGGACTGAATGGCCATGGAAACGGTTCTCCTGGAATCCCTGCAGGTGAGACTGGGGGTGGGGGGGGACAAGGAGACTGACTATCCAGCAGACTGGGGACCGTGTTTAGGAAATAGCAAGGCTGGATTGTGTGCATGCATGTGTGCGGGCGGAGGTGGGATGCCCATGACTGAATGGCCACGGATGGCACTTTGATGGCTGCCAGCCTCTTTTCCGTCTCTCTCCTGGATTGTGTACGCAGTTCTCCTGCACAGCGGGAAGCACAGTGGGGGCTTGGTGAGCGGTACAAACCTGGCAGAAAGCCATCAGGCTGTGGGCACTTTCTGTGGGAACACTTTCTCGCAGGTGTTTCTGGCGGGCCAGTCACTCTCAGTACAGCATCAAGGTGCAACTCTTGTGCCCGTCGGGGGCGGAGACTGTGAGGCAGGAAGCAATTTCCTTCCCTCTCATAATTCTGGTTGCTTTGAGGCGGCTAAACAGAGACTCACTTGGAGAGCTCCTGCATTGCCAATGACCTACAGTGACTGTGCGAAAACCGCTGCCGGCACTCACTTCAGCACTGGAGGCAGCAGGGCACCCAGCCAAACCCAGGAGCTCCAAAACCCAAACCAGTGCCAAAAAGCCCATCCCACCAAAAGGGAGCCAGAAGGCTGCAGAGGGACCGCTGGGAGCCCCTGGAATTCGCCATGCTGCTGGGTCATCCCACAGTGAGGAGGATTGTTTGGGGGCTTTTCTGACAAGTTTTTCTTGTCTATGCCCCATCTCCCACCATCCCCCATAACAATGTCTCTTTGTGGGCAGGGGTGCCAGCATTGCATGGTGCTCTGATGTCCAGGTCCACCCACAGATAGTAAATCCAAATAGGACTGAATCCCTCAGAAGGGAGGGGATGAACTGTGGCAGGCAAGGGGGTGTCACGCAGTAACACTGTCTGCTGGCTGGGGGTGCAAAGGTGGTTTAGGATCTGCTCATGATGGTCCTGTCTGACACAGCTCCTAAGAGAACCCAGGGGCTTCTAGTACTTGTTCCTTCCTGGTGACCCCCCACAGAGCACCTACTTGCCACAAAGTTTGCAAGGGCAGAGGGGCCCTCTCTTTCCCCAGCTGCCCCAGCCATAGGTGCTGGAACTAGGGGTGCTGCCATACCCTTGGGCTTGAAGTGGTTTTCGTCAGCTAGAGGGTTTACAGTTTGGTTCAGTGGCTCTGAGCACCCCCCACTAAGCAAATTGTTCCAGCACCCCTGGGCCCAGCCGCACCTCCAAGCTTGGAACTGCTGATTATTTTGCCTGCAGATATGAACTGATTCTGGGCACAAATTAGGGCTGTTTCTCCATGCTCTGTCAGTGGGATTAGGTCAGAGCATGCTGACTGCAGAGGAATGCCAGAGGTTTGCAAATAGAAGAAGTTAAAATGTAACTAGTAGTAACTATGGGAGGATTATCTCCCACCCTCAATAATTAACCATTACGGGTTCTGACGTTCCAAGGAACATGGTGTGGCGGAGAAATAATTGCTCACTGACTAAAAAGGGGGGGACCAAGACGCAGGTCACAGAGATCTCCTGCTGGGTTTTCTTCTGCTTCAGCATGGAGTGGCACAGGTCTCAGCCAAGTAGCAAAGCACCCTAGGACACCACCACTCTGCACACTGTATGCTGGGGCTGATGCAGAAGGAGGTTACATGTGCCAATTAAGTGCCGCCCTCAAGGCACCCAGCAAGTTAGTGGTGGAGCCCATGCTGCTGCTTCAGCACTCTGACTGTAAAACCTCAGCACCTGATCCCGCCACTTGTGAGTTTTAGAATAGCACATTGAGTACAGCACCACACGACGTGAGCAAGCGTGGCAAAAACAGAAACTCAGACAAGCATCCGCCCTGATCAGAATGGAGTCTGCTGCCAGCCGAGGACGCTGCCCTGTGCTTTATGCAAATAGAAGCAATACATTTCTGTTTGCTCAAGGCCATGAGATTTGGATAATAAACCAATTTCTCCTGTGCAGCCTACAGGAAGTTGCCCACGCCTGAGAGCCGGGTAGTGAGTCAGTGAGAATTGCTGATAATTATTCATTCATATAAATAAGGAAAGGGTCCAAATGATTAGTTTTGCACACCACTGGCGTATGTAACTGCTTGCTTATATTACTACCTGTATTGGCCTTATCCTCCCTCCTGCCTCTAGTTAGTCTCATGCTTGTAGAGCCTTGCCTTAAATTACATTGTAAGCACTTTAGAGCTGGGACTGTGTCACCCTATGCATGTGTACAGTGCCTAGGCCAACAGGGCTCCCACAGGCCTACAGAAATTATTTGGGATACAGAAAACAGGGCAGCTGGGCGCAGCGAGTTGATACACATCCAGGCATCTGGGTGCAGGGGCAGAGTTAATACATGGGGTTTTTATGATCTCATTCTAATGCCTACAGAGACACATAACACCACAGCACAGACTGGCACACGTGGCCTTCTCTATTCACGAAAGGCTCAGGGCTGGATTAACAAGGTGTGCAACAAGTCAGGAATGAGTTGGGCTGGGAACGCTTGGATGGCACCTATCTCTGCTCTGGTCAGCCTGAGGCAGTCCTGCCGGCCCCTTGCTTTCAAAAGCAATGAATTCACTATTCACATATCTTAAAGTTTAAAAACAAATGAGTTTATCAGAATTTTAATTATCCAAAAGAAGAATTACACTGAACAATGCAGGCCTGGCAGCATCCAATTAACAGAGCGGGGAAAACAGAAACACACTCCCGAACTGCCCTTTCCTCCCTGTAGTGGATTGAGACTCACCATAGCAGCGCCTCCTGCTGGTCATCTGGGAGTTAGCTCTTTTCCAGCATACAGAGCACCCTCTGCAGGCCAGTGTCCCACCTGCCGCTGGCCCCGTGTCCCTCCCAGACCCCAGTTCCCTTTACCTCAGGATTCTGCCCCAGTAGTACCCCCACTCTCTGGGTCTCCCCTCCACAGGGGAACCCCCAACTCTCTAAGCCCACCTTGCTTCAGTGGGTACTGCCAGTCATCATCTAGCCCCCGCTCACTGGGGCAAACTGCAGTGTGTAATGGACACTCCTCATTGGCAAGGGGTTAGGACCAGCTGCCTCTACTAGGGTGACCAGATCGCAAGAGTGAAATATCAGGACACATTGGGCGAGGGGGGGGCGGGAAGGGACAGGCACAGGTGCACAGCCCCGACCGGAGCCAGAGGCACACTGGTCCGCCTGGCCCTGTGGTGCTACCAGCGTTCCCCTTCCTGTTGGGGATGCGCCCATGCTGCACCACACAGCTCCCCTGCCCAGCGCCCCCTGGATCCACTATGCCCAGAGCCCCCCACAACCCTTCCACCACAAATGCACAGTGCTGTGCACACACACACCCTGCCCAGCACCTCCCTGCCCACAGCCCCACTACAGCTGCCCCGCTCCCCACACAGAACCCTCCCCCACTCACTAGTTTCCCAATACACACAGATTTCCCCTCCCTCCCAGGGCCCTTCCCCACAGCCCCACCACCACAACTACACAATGCCCCACACAGACCCCCACTGCCCTGACACACACACAGATCTCCCCCACTTCCCAGCACCCCCCAACAGGACCCCACTGTCTAGCACCCCAAAACACACAAACCTCCCCCACTGCCCAGTGCCTTCCACACACCTCCCAGATACTCACCATCACACCCTGCCCCCTTCCCTGGCCACACTTAGCAGCCCTGCTGGGAGGTCTCTGACTCCTAGGGCGAGAGCGGCAAGGGGAGACTCCAGACTCCACGTTCTGCGCCCGCCACAAGCGCAAGCTCTGTGGCTCCCATTGGCCAGGAAAAGCACCAATGGGAGCTGCTGCAGAGCGGGGCTTGCAGGCACCAGCAGCACGCAGAGCCCCCCCCACCCTAAGAGCCAGAGGGACCTGCCAGGGGGCAAAGTGGGGAGTCCCAGCGGTGCTTACCTGGGGCGGCTCCCATCCCGGGAAGCATCCGGCAGGCAGGTCCCTCTGGCTCCTAAGGTCACAGGTTGGGGCAGGGCGGGGGGGGGGGGCACGGAGGGCTCTCTGCCCCCTCCCAGTGCCTGCAAGCCCCGCCCCTGCAGTGCACGACGCTCCTGCCGGCATGTGGGCACCAGGAACTGCCCCAGAAAGCGGTGAGCGGCAGTGCCGCAGCTGCGGCCCGGATGGTCCCGATATAGGGACAAAGGGCGTCCGACCAATGTAAGGTCGGGATGCAGGACAAGTCTCCTAAAACCAGGACTGTCCTGATAAAATTGGGACATCTGGTCATCCTAGCCTCTACCTATTCCCAGGCTGCACCTCTGTAGCCCCAGTACCTTTGTAGGCCTTCAGCAAGGCCTGCAGCCTGGGGGTTTACCAGGCTGGAGCTCGCCAGCTCCTCTTTACCCTTCCCCAACACTGCTCCACCTCAGGTGTTCCTTGCTCCCAGGCAGCTAACCCTTCCCACTCCAGGGCTAGGGTGAGACTTCTACAGCTCCTGGCCTCCAGCCCTCATATCAGTGCCAGCTGTGGCCCGATTAAGCCATCCACACCTGGGGCCAACTATCTCCCCAGCCTCCCTCAGCTGCTCTTAATCCATTTTACTTTGGAGTGGGGCAGCCACCCCACTACACTCCCCTCATCAGCCATGTCACACAAATATACCAAAGTCAGACTCAGACATCCTACGTGGTAGGTGACACATCTAACTCAATCAGTAACAGAGCTGACCCATGGATTGAGAGATGATTTTGCTAGGTCTGATCACTGGGTGGCAGCTCTGAGTCAATGTTGTTCCCTTGCAGAAAGGAGCAGGAAAGAACTGAGTTCTCTTTCCACGGCACTGTTACTCGCCAAAGCAGCTAGCTAGTTGCTACCATCTCCTACAAACAGCCAGTATACTGGGAATCCAGCATGTCATAGTATTTGAGCAATTAGAGATAGAAGAGATCCATTAAACCATAATTTATCCACTTGCATAACCTTTCCCCTGCCCCAACCCCAGTTTTCCCTGCAATAATATATGTCCTCCCTGGCTTTGTCCAGTCTGGTTTTACGTGTCCTGGTGATGGGGCTTCCACTACCTCCCTAGAGACATCATTCTGCAGGATAGAGTCACAGATAGGAAAGGTTTCTTCAGCTGCAGCCAAGTTTCCCCATTGCTGTTTCACCCCTTGACTCCTTGTCCCATCCTTAGCAATTCCAATTCCTCCTTGACAGGTTTGCTATCTACATCCTTCCAACACTAATTCTTCTGGATGAGTATTATCTCTCTAAATAAACTAGATCTGTTTTCAGAATGTGAGGCATTTCATTCCAGGTGCTTGCACCAGAATCTTATCCGTGACATGACGTTTGATCGTTCATGCTGTGAAGTTTGCATTGAACTCAATATTACATTGCAGCAGAAGCGTGGCAAAGCTAACATGATAATGGCAGGGGGATTAGAGCTGTGTGTAACGAGCAGATCTCTCCAATGGGGAGAGATTTCCTGGTTTCTCTACCCAAGTACGGTGATACAGCTGAGGAGGATGTGGTGCTGATTGACATTTGCCACCCACTTTGGAAGAAGGAGGGCTGGGAAGAAGGATTGCCCTTTGCTTTTCCTGCCTGGGTTCGGGAGGGGAAACAGTGATGACAAGAAGAGGCAACAGGCTTCGAGTGGGGGACTCGAATCCATTCACCTGTTCTCTTGCCCTCACCAGTCCTCTTGTAGCACTAGTACAGTTCCTTGGCCCTGACAGCTGGTTCCTGTCCTGCCCACAGAGGCAACACAAAGTAATCGTCACACTTCAGGGTTTTGAAGAGCTGAATGGCCTGCATGTGAAGAGCAGGCTCTCGCTTGCTATTGACAGATCCTCCATCACAGGGCGGCTTTCCAAATGCCTGTCTGGCTTCTGATGTCTGATCAGCCAGGGGGCCTTTCTCACCCCCGGGGGGCTTCTCACCAGGTTTGAGGCCGGGAAAGAAGCAGTATTCCCCCACCTGGCGTAGAAAAACTGGTCCGGTGCCATCGGGGTTGAACATGACCACATTATCCTCTTGCCCAGGCTCTGCTTTAGCAAAATCAACCCCCTCCGATAGGATGGGTGGGGAAAAACCAACGGGTTCTGGAGTGCCACAGAGAGCCTTGGGGAACATAACATAGCTCCCAAATCCAGAGAGAGCAGCTGATGCTGGAGATGGAACTGGGACTGCGACACCAGGTTTTTCAGGGCCCAACTCGGGGCTAGGGGTGCCCTCCGTGGCATGGGGCAGTTGTGGGTTGGATGACAACATGCCAGAAGCAGTGGGCATCCCCTCCAGTGGGGCCTGTGCAGGGGACAGATGGGCAGAGTCTCTTGCTGGCATCAGTGACAGACCTTCCGTGGTGACGTATCCCAGTGGCAATTTCTGACCGGAATTGTTTAAGACGGCAGCAATCCGTGACCTTTGACCTTTGGTGTCCCCTTGTGCCACTTCCCCACCTGCTGGCTGGCCTTGTGGCCCTTCTTGCTCTCCAGCAAGTGGCTGCTTCATCTCTTTCTCAGCAGGAAGCGAGACGGGGTGGAGCTGAGCTTCTCCTCTCTCCTCCTCCACCAGCAGGATCTGGGAAGAGGCCCCCTGGGGTAGGGACACGTACTCCAGGGACACTGGCCTCCCCCTGGTTCCCAGTGGGGCAGCTTCCTGGTCCTGATGAATGTCAGGCAGGGAGCACCCATGGGGGAAGTGCAAGTATGGACCATTAAAGTCAAAGCAGGACATGGGTGCCTGAGAAGCAGTGACCTTAGCACTGCTCCTCCAGGGGAGCGTGGCTGGTGACAAGGACTGACTGGTGCTCTGACTCGAACGGCAGCTAGCCGGGGCTGCAGGATGTGGAGCTGGAGTTGTCATTTCAAGAGTCTGATATGGGTTCTCTGGGTCCAGTGCACCAAGGAAGCACATCATCCTCTCGGTCACGACTGCAGGGAGCTCTGCTGAACTAACCTTCATCTGTCTGCAAGGGGGAAACAAGAGGAATCAGAGAAGTCACCCTGCAGAGAACGTCACATAGACAGGGAGTGGAGCTGAGGGCCTCCTAGGAGAAAGGTCTTCTGCGGGTTAGAAGGAATCTTTCCCTGGGGGCAGATTATCGCATAACTGCCTATGGCAGAATTTCTTGTGCTTTCCTCTGAAGCAGCTGGCACCGGCATCTATTCCTGGCAAGATACTGGACTAGATGGACCATTGGCTGGACCCAGTCTGGCAATTTCTGTGTTTCTTGAGTCTAAGGGGCCCAAGCAGCACATCACCCTTCATAGACCGTGATCACCACCACCTACATTATATATAGCACCAGACCTTTGCCTGGCACTGGGCGAAGTTTATAAAAAGACATGGTCCCTGCCGCAAGGAACTTACAGCCACTGAGGTAGAAGACAGAAAAAGGGAGGGAGCAAACAAGGAGTGATGGGGGTTCAAATAAATACAAATAATGGCCTGCGCTTTCCAAAAGTGACTAGTGATGGCTGGGCACCCACCCATGGGCAGTGGGTATCAAAGGCCAAGGGAGACTAAGCCTCCCCTGACCGAGGCCGTGGCCTTGCCAGTGATCCACCCCTAGGCCATGCCCTCACTCCCCCTCTCCCCTTAAGCCAGCAGGGGCTCAGCTCCTTCCAGTGGCCTGGAGCTCGGGGTTGGTGCTGGCAGCCCAGGGCTGGGGTGGCCGGGGTGGCTCAAGGAGGGTGAAGAGCCTCTGTCCCCAACCTGGAAGGGGAGAGCGCTCTAAGCCCTGGGAAAAGGGGTATAGCTATAAGTGTCTCCAAGTTGGGACTCAGGCTATTCTAACTGAATACGGCCTTCCTCAGGCTACTCTTCTTAACCCAGAATCCCTCACAGCATAGAGCATGATGGGTACCCTGCCTCAGCACAACCTCCCTACATCAGGAGCTGTGCGGAGGGCAGTCTTGGGTTTCTTACATTTGCCCCACACTACTGCATTGGAGGAATTATCCTCTGTCCTATTGCAGCCCCAGCTGGCTCTTGTATGCTGCCAGAGCCAGAATCAGCCCCAAGAGTGGTGAGGGCCTCACTTCCAGGTGGCAGGAAAATAGGATGTGTAGGGCAGGGGGCGTGTATGCATCTGTATGCTGGGGGTGCTTATCCACCTCCATTTCCAGATTGGGGAATCAAAGGCAAGCCCATTACCAGAAGGAGAGATCAGGGAGAAAGGGCTCAGGGTTTGGGACTGGTGTTTCCAGGGAGCCAGGGAGAGCAGGGGCTGCAAGTCCATCCATTGACATTTCCAGATGGTCATGTGGAGGATGTGCCAAGGTTTATCATTCACACCAGTTACATTTGCCATCCCTCCCTGATGGGATCAGCCACCCACAGGAACTGAGATGCCACCATCACCAAGCAACGTCTCAGAGAGTATCACCACTGAGCAGTGCACTGACCACTCACCCATCCAGCACTTGGATGCAGCTGGCCAGGTCCATCTTCTCAGAAGGGCTCTGCTTGCCAAAGTCCAGCTGGCTGCTCGGCAGCGGAATCCCAAGTGCTACTTTCTGAAAAGAGACAAGGGCAGATAGGACTCCTGGCAGACAGAGGGTGATTCCCTGAGGGCAGAGGGGAGCCAGAAGCCCCATAGTGGAGATGCCACAGTGTGTGGTAGCACTTTAACCCCTCTTGGGGGCAACATTGCTCCTGGGGACTGGTGGTTTGATGGGGGGAATAGGTCTGGAGGCCTCCTGCTGGAGGCCATGTGGCCCTGCCTCATCACACCCCAGAAAAGAGCAGAGGAGAAGTCCTCCAGGCAATCTAGAGTGGCTGCAGGGGAGCAGCTGCTGGAGTGACCAGTCAGGGGGCAGAAGGGCCATATAAAAGGAAGCAGCAGGGACACAGCAGTCAGTTGCTGCCTGGAGCTTGAAGAGGGAGAAGTGGGTGCATGGCTGGCTGGAAGAGCAGCAGGACCATTGACAGCTCATTGCAGGCAGGACTGAGCCCAGGACCTAGCCAGACCAGGCAAGGGTACCATGATGGGCCCTGCTGGGGCCCTGCTGGTCTGGTTGAAGACTAAGCCCAGGGAGAGCTGCCAAAAAGACACTAACCAAGGGTCCCGAGATGGGCTCCTTTGGGGCTGTTAAAGAAGGCAGTACCTCTGGAGGAAGCCTTGGTGCTACAGCCCCATTCCAGAGCCATGAGCAAGACCTAGAGACTGTACACCCCAGAAGGGGGGACAGTGTGTGTGACTCAGCCGGAGGGGAGGTGTGCTCATGAGAGGCAGGTGCCACCCCATTGTAAGAACTGAAAAGAAAGCAGGCTCACACCCAACCAGGAAGGGGGCACCTGCAAGAGGTGTGTACTGCCCTGTTCAAAACTGAGTAATTGCAGTCATGTATTGGTGCTCACAAGTGTAAGGTAAAACACAGTGGCAAAAATCCTGCTATCTCCTGGGCTTCTCCTATACCAATGGGCAGGGTCCTCAGACAATGTGTCCCCACATGTGCTGTGAAAGGATAGAGGCTTGAGAGGGCAATTAACCTGCCTGCTTGAACCTGGAGGATGGGCCAGGACTAATCAGAAGTAAAGCCCAGGTGGGGAAGAGAAGGGCTTGTGGCCATAAAGAGCTGAGTGAGACTCATAGGAGGAAGGAGACCCAGGGGAGAAGAGGTGGGAAGTAACCTGAGAGAAGGCTGAGAGGGAGGAGGCAGAGCAGACAGGCTACTCCAGGAGTGAGTGGGAAGCCTGACTGGAGACAGGGGCCCTGAAGGGCACTAACCTGCCTGAAGCCCTGAGAGAGGGGAGGCGCATGCCAGCCGCTGGACAGTGGGGCTGTTGAAAGCCCAGGACCTGTGAGGCCGAGGTGGCCAGCTGAGCCCAGCCAGGCTGAGGGTTTGGTTTTGTTTACAGTTCTGTTGGACTTGGTCAAGAACTCGGCTGGCCAGAAGCGGCAGGACTCTGTCAAGTCGTCAGACCAGAGGGCCGGGATACTCTTACAGCTGGAGTAGGCCAAAGGGTAGTAGGGGAAAGCTCAGTTCTCTCTTACCTGGAGGTAGCTCTGGAGCAGCTGACTCCTGCCGGGATTTGGAATCTTTTCCTCCCATTTTTTCTTCTTGCTGTAACAAGACAGAGTTTGCAGGGTCACTTCTCTTGGGAGGAGGCTACACCAGATACACAGCCTTACCCTGGGCCCCCTTGTTAACCCAGAGGTCCTGAAACTCCATGGCCCTACACTCAAGCTGCTGTCTGACATGGAGAGAGCTCTGCGCTGCACCCCAGGCATATCTCCAGCTCAACTAAGCCCTAGATCAAAGATAGGGATGTGCCCATGCAGCACCTCCCTGCACTCACTCTATTGGTGTGTCTGGTGAATCTCCAACTCCCAGTGCAGACTTACCTGAGTAGGCATCTATAACCACACCAGCCAAATGCTATCAGCACGATGGTGAAGACTGGGATCAGCAGTGGGAGAATCAGTGGTGACCCAGCTGAGGCAGATAAATGAGAGAGAGAGATATAGACAGCAACAGAAAATGGCTTCATTCTGTATCGAAACTTACATTCTGGATGCTCTTTTGGGATGATACTGAGGTCAGGAAAATGTAGGTTGCCTGTCAAGTCACGAGTCCTAACTGACAGGTGTGTTAGACCATGGAATACTCACCCACTTGGGATAGACTAGATGTGACCTAATCAGGAGAGCTGGGCAAAGTACCAGGAGAATGAATTGGTCAACACATTTGCTAAATCCAACTCTTGATTTGGTCTGAGCCCCTTCTTTGGGTTTTTCATGAACATCTGGACAACCAGTTTGTTTGTGCAAACAGCTGGGGACGAGCTTGTATTTGTGTGAGTCTTCATATGCTCACAGACCTCATACGTTTCCAAGAAAGAATTCCCTCTCCTGCATAACTCCAAGGGACAGGGTCTCCCAGGAGGTACTGTGGAAATGGGGTTCTCCTCTACAGATCTCATTAGGTCAACCCCAAATGGGATATAGTCCTCAAGCCCCTGTTCTCCCCAGTCCCATGTTAGGACTATTTAAAAAAAACTAAAGAAATTCCCAAAGCAAATAACTTTGTTAAAGTGAAGTTCAGACTGAGGGCTTATCTGTACTTATGGCTAAATCGGCCTTGTTGCGATCAGTGCAGCAGTGTCAATTTAGTGGGTCTGGTGAAGATACACTAAGTCGATGGGAAAGCACTCTCCCGTCGGCATCTGTACTCCGCCTCCCTGGGAGGCAGAAGGTAAATTGGCCAGAGAGCGTCTCCCGTCAACACAGCATGGGGATCTGAGGGTCATAGTGGACCACAAGCTAAATATGAGTAAACAGTGTAACATTGTTGCGAAAAAAAGCGAACGTCATTCTGGGTTGTATAAGCAGGAGTGTTGTAAGCAAGACACAAGAAGTAATTCTTCTGCTCTACTCCGCGCTGATCAGACCTCAACTGGAGTATTGTGTCCAGTTCTAGGTGCCACATTTCAGGAAAGGTGTGGACAAATTGGAGAAAGTCCAGAGAAGAGCAACAAAAATTATGAATGGTCTAGAAAACATGACCTATGATGGAATATTGAAAAAATTGGGTGTGTTTAGTCTGCAAAAGAGAAGACTGAGAGGGGACATGAAAACAGTTTTCAAGTACATAAAAGGTTGTTACAAGGAGGCAGGATAAGAATTGTTCTTCTTAACTTCTGAGGATAGGACAAGAAGCAATGGGCTTAAATTGCAGGAAGGGCAGTTTAAGTTGGACATAAGGAAAAACTTTCTAACTGTCAGGTTAGGAAGCACAGGTTAAGCACTGGAATAAATTGCCTAGAGAGATTGTGGAATCTCTATCACTGGAGATTTTTAAGAGCAGGTTAGACAAACACCTATCAGGAATGGCCTAGATAATACTTAGTCCTGCCATGAGTGCAGGGGACTGGAAGAGATGACCTCTCGAGGTCCCTTCCAGTCCTATAATTCTATGGTGTAGACACTGCTGTAAGTTGACCTAAGTTTCATCAACTTCAGTTACTTAATTTACATAATTTATGTAACTCAAGTAACGTAACTGAGGTCGACTTACAGCTTTAGTGTAGACCAACCCTCCAAGAACAGATCAGTAACTTCAGGGTGAAGATCCTTACAAGAACACTGCAGATAGCAACAAAAAAAGACTTGCAGTTAAGTGTAAATGTACAGGAAACACAAACATTTGAGAGTCTAGAAATTCACAATTAAGGCTTATTCAGTCACCTCTCCTGTTTGTACAGGTTCAGGAAGCCAATCAGAGACCAGGAATTCCATCATGAGACCTAGTGACCAATCACACAGACTGAATTCCAAATACTGAACAACACTCCCATGAAGCAATGCTTCTCTGAATGACCAGAGAAACCCATGTAGGCTCTGATGGATTTGCTTAAAATCAGTTGCAAAGAGCCCATCTTTTCATTATTTCACAAACATGAAAATGTTGTTCAGAATGAACAGTTCAACCAGCTCCACTGATTAATCCCTTTCTACCTTCTAGCATGGATCATTCCTTCCCTTCTCCAGACCTCCACTTAGATCCATGAACTTCTCACACTGGCCTCCAGCCCCATTTTCAGCCTGACCACGTCCAGTGGGATCCAGTCTGCCTGGTTCCTCTTAAAGGTAGTAACCTGGACACCTCAAAGGCTGCAGTGCAGAGATACTATGTGTAGGGGAAGATTACAGTCATGTGACCCTCCTGTGAAATTCTATACATTGGGGAAGCGTGCTGTAACCCCCATATTCCTCATTTTTGTATAATTGTGATCTTACGTATAAAGCATGCCTTGTAATGTATCAGGGAAAGGTTATGATCTGCTGAAAGTCATTTCTCTAGCCATAGATGTGTAACATTAATGCATATGAAGTTATGAGAATTGTGTACTATGGTTGTCACTAAAACATGCTGTAAGTTGGGGGAATCAGCCAAATATTAGCTCCCCAGAGGCAACAGCAAGGAAAGTAACCAACGCCTGGGCAGGGTGTCAAAAAACCCATCAACAGCCATTATTCAGCAAGGGAGCTACAATGCAATGACTCACCTGCATGAGGCCACACCCAAGAGAATTGCTCAACCTTGCTTGGAGAGACTCACCTGACTCTGAAGCGGGGGGCAGGGGGCAAAGCCAAGAGGGGAGAAAGGACATGATAAAAGGGAGAGATATTTGCCATGCTCTTCCTCTCTCTTCCACCTACATCCACAGATACCACACCAAGCAACTGAAGCACTGATCAAAGGGGAGAGCCTGACTGAAGAGCAACCAGCCAGCCTGTAGTGAAAAGCATCTAAGTTTGTGTGAAAGTAGAATGAATTATATTGAAATTATAATTCATTAAAGAAATGCTGCTTGAAGGGTTTGTTGAAATATAGTTGTCAGGAAGAGAAACATTAAGGAGTGTGAGACAATGGGTCCTCAAACTAATTAACTTAGAGCTCCTACTGAGCTAGGAGATTGGTAAACATTAGTATGCAAATAAGACATGTATGTATATTTGTCAGTTTCTGCTTCCTTTTGTCTCTTATGTTAAATTGGCTTTCCCTTATCTGTTTAAATAAGTTAGCTTGAGCTTTCGCAGGAGGCTCACATATCTGGGTGCATTGGCAAAGCGCTTTGCTAATAAACAGAGTGGTCTGACAAATTCAGTGAGTCTTGAATTTGACTTTGACAATTTGGAGTTTCCACCGAGATGGCAACCGTCTTCACTGGGGCCGTGTGACCCCTGACCGTTCTTAGGATGGCCATAGCAAGCCGGCACCTGGGCATTTGGCCCGAGCGGTCCTCCACCAGAACGGAAGTGTGCATGACCACAGTGAAGTCTACGCCATCGAACCTGTTGGTTCCCACTCTGTTCTGGTAGGGATCCCGGGATCTGACATCAGGAATCTGGTCAGGTAATTATTTCTATGTTTTGTCCGGACTGAGGACTGTCTTTCTCTGTGTCTATCTGTCCTCCCTGTGGTGTGTTTGAGTCTGGGTGCCGTCTTGGTCCGGGGATCGGCTGACCAAAGGGTTCCTGTCCCCACGGTCTGAGTGAGTGAAATCTGCACAATCACAGCCACACAGCGCCTTGGGTAAAACCCTTGGTGTGAAAGCAAGGGCGATTGAGGCAGTAGCCTGTGGGCTCCTTTTGTGTGTTGCACGGGGTATCGCTCTGACGAACCCGACTTTCCTTCTTGTGTGATTGGTGTGTAAAGTCCTCCTGTATGGGTAACCAGATGTCTAAGTCGGGACAGTTCCCTAAAGGAACACCGGCTCATTTTATGTATTTTAGGAAGGGTCCGGACTCCTGTAAATTTCTGGAAAAATGGTCTAGGCTAACTCAGGAGAATCCCAAAATTCAGTGGCCACTGTTAGGGTCTTGGGACAAAGACCAAGTAGATGTCTTAAAAGATAAACTCGGCCAACCTAAAACTAAATTGGCAAAAGGAAAGGTTGATTGTTTCATGCAGTGGTGGGCAAATCATTGGTGGACAGAATCAAAACTTGCCTTCTCAAAGATTCAAATAATAAGTTAAAAGCTTTATTAGAAGCCTCTTCTCCTGCTGCCAGACCGAGCGCTCCCCTTTATCCCGTTCTCCGAGAAAACCAGGATTGATCCCATCCACCTTCATACTCCCATCTCATTGTGGGAAAGGACGAAGAAAACCCCTTGTTACATTCTGGGGATGACGATGAGGAAGATGCATTAATTGGCTTGGCATCCTTGCATCGGATCAATAGGCGGTTAAACAACTCCCAGGGGTCTCCAGTTCAGACCAGTCCGGATTGTCCAATACCGCCCAGGCCCATTCCTCTGGTACCACTCAGACCCACAAAGAACCCCCCCCCCCCCCCGTTCTCCCAAAACCCTCCAGTCTGCCTGACTCCTCTGTTTTTCCCCATACATACGAAGATAGCCTGGACACTGATTGGGCCCAACACTTACGCTCTGGCTCTAAACCTGTCCAGGCTCCCCTCCGAATCCTGCATACTGGGGGCCAACAAGAGAGTCCCACTTGGAGCTATAAACCCTGGACTCATACAGAGCTCCTTTCAATTGTAAAAGGCTTTCCAAAACCCCTGGAAAATCCTACCACATTTGCAGAGGAGTTTTTGTTAGTGTGCGACACCTATGAACCCTCTGATGCAGACCTCCTGCAGCTGTGCAAGCTACTTGTAACCCCTAGCGAGCATGGAAAATGGCTCACAGCAGCCAACTGGCCCATCAGTGAGCGCCATTCAACTCTACCAGACACCGGTCCTGACACTGAATACCGGAAAAAGTGTAAAGACCGAACTAAAAACCTACATGAGGCCATCCCTCAAGTATGGACTCCAAAAACAAACTGGACAGCCATACATTGCTGTAAACAGCGACAGGGAGAAAGTCCGGGTGACGATCACACCCGACTGACTGACGTTTTTCTGCAACATTCTGGTATACAGCAACAGGGTGAAAATGGGAAGGGTGCCCTGGCTCATGCGTTTGTTAATGGCCTCCTACCTGCTATTGGCAATATGCTAAAGCGAATAAGTGTTGGGTGGGAAACGGAAACCATGGATAAATTGCAATCAGTGGCAGAACACTGCCATCACACTCTAAAGGGAAAGGAGGAACAATCTTCCCAAAAGTTAATGGCCCTGCAAATACAGCATTATTCAGGGCAAGATAAACAGTACCGGGGAGGGGGACGTGGTCACGGGAGGGGACGTGGAACTGGATTTTCGGGTTTTGGGGGTGTTTGTAATTACTGTAAACAACTCGGACATTGGAAAAACGAGTGTCCGCGCCGGCCTAATAGCTCTGTAAACAACCAGCTAGACCCCCTGTCGGCACAGCCCGACAGTCCCCAGACTTACTTTGTCCCACAACAATAACAGAACACCAGGGAACCTCGGGAAATTTTAGCTCCTTTACTACCTCTCACTCCCACGGGTGAATGTGTTTTGACTATTAATGATCTTTCTCTCCCTTTCCTTGTTGATACAGGAGCTTCACTCTCTGAGGTTCGTACTGCCGACCTGCCTGAGGTTCCCCGCTCCGAAAAAAACATATACGCTGTGGGCATTACGGGACTCCCAACCCCTTATCCCCTTTCAAAACTTCTACCAATTCAGGTTGGTCCCCTTTCCGCGGACCATGCATTCCTCCTCTCGGATTCCACTCCAGTGAACTTTTTGGGTCGGGACCTGTTATGTAAACTTGGCTGTACCATCTACTGTTCCCCGGATGGTGTCTACTTACAAATCCCCCAGTCCTCTCTGAGTGATTCTGTAGCCTCCCTGCTGTCTGAAACTCCCCTTTCCACTCCGGTCCCCTGCTGCCCATTGGTCCTGTCCCTTGAACACCTAATTTCACAGGTCCCATCCTCTCTGTGGCCAACCCACCCGTCTGAAGTGAGCCGTTTACATACTGACCCCGTCTACATTATTGTTGATTCCTCCAAACCTCTGTCTCGCCTGTCTCAATACCCTTTAAACCCCAAAGCAGAGGCTGGAATTGCTCCAGTCATGACCGCCCTGCAGGAACAAGGCATTATTATCCCCTGCTCCAGCTCCTGTAACACCCCTATCCTCCCAGTTCGAAAAGCTGATGGTAAATCGTGGCGGTTTGTTCAGGATCTTTGGGCCATTAACCGCATTGTCATACCTGCCTTTCCCGTTGTCCCTAACCCAGCGACAATTCTGGCTTCTATCCCACCAGATGCAACTCATTTTACTGTTGTTGATTTGTGCTCTGCTTTCTTTTCTGTCCCGGTTCCCCGTGACTCCCAGTTCCTGTTTGCCTTTTCTTACAAGGGGTAACAGTACACATGGACCACACTGCCCCGGGGTATACTGAAAGCCCGTCATATTTTTCCCAAGCATTAGCCCGAGACCTTGCTGACCTTGTTTTCCCGTCCAGGTCCACACTAGTCCAATATGTAGATGATCTACTCCTCTGTTCCCCTTCATTGTCCGCCTCTGAAACTGATCCTTTAGTGCTCCTTACTGCCCTAGCAAATAAGGGTCACAAAGCTTCTCGCTCTAAACTACAACTCTGTCAAGCTTCTGTCACATACCTTAGCTTTCTCCTCTCCCAGGGTTCCCGTGCACTTTCTCCCACCCGCGTCCAAGCTATCCTTAGCTTTCCCCGACCCCGCTCCCCACACCAGGTCCGGAAGTTTTTAGGCATGGCTAGATTTTGCAGACAATGGATTCCCCAATATGCCTCCCTTGCAAAACCTCTCCAGGAACTCACTCGATTCTCTGTGCCTGACCCCATGTCGTGGCCCCCTGAGGCCAATTCTGCCTTCATTTCCCTCAAACAGGGTTTGGCTTCTGCCCCTGCCTTAGGGCTGCCTGACCATTCTAAGCCTTTTACCATTTTCTGCCACGAACAATCTGGGTGTGCACTGGAGTTCTCACTCAGACGCACGGAGAAAAGAACCGCCCAGTGGCTTATTTCTCTGCCACGTTAGACCCTGTTGCCCAAGGCTTACCCCCTGCCTGCGTGCTGTGGCTGCTGCAGCGCACCTAGTCGAAATGTCTGATGCCCTTGTTCTCCGCTCTCCTCTTACCCTCCTGGTCCCTCCCTCTGTAGAAACTCTCCTGCTACAACGTAACACAGGCCACCTCTCCTCTGTCTGCCTTACCAGGTACGAATTTTTACTATCAGCTTCATATATCACCATAAAGCGTTGTTCTCAGTTAAACCCTGCCACTCTCCTTCCTTTGTCTAATGACGGTGATCCCCACGACTGCCTTGCAACTGTCTCTGCTGTCACCGTCCCGCGCTCTGACCTTTCTGATGTCCCTCTCCTTAACTCTTACCTTGTTTTATTTACTGATGGTTCCTGTTTTCGAGATGACCAAGGTCGTCTCCTTGCAGGATACGCTGTAGTTTCACTCTCTGAAACCCTGGAAGCTGCACCTTTACCTTCTGTAACCTCAGCACAAGTTGCTGAATTAGTTGCCCTCACCCGTGCCTGCTTTTTGGTGGAGGGATGCTCCGCCACCATTTACACTGACTCCCGCTACACTTTTGGAGTTGTACATGACTTTGGTACCCTCTGGCAAACTCGGGGTTTCCTTACCTCTGCCAGTACCCCTATTAAAAATGGACCCTACATCGCTGCCCTCCTGTATGCAGTTTTACTTCTGTCTGCCCTAGCTATTGTTAAGTGCCCTGGCCACTCAGTGGCGGATACTGATGTTGCTAAGGGTAACGCATTTGCTGATGCCTCTGCTAAACATGCTGCTGCCATAGAACCTTCCCCAGATGCATTTCTAGGTTCCCTTTCTGTTTCTATACCGCCGCCGTCCTTCACTGACCTCACCCTGCTCCAAGACTCTGCCCCAGAAACCGAGAAAGAATCCTGGGTTGCCCAAGGTTGCTCTCTACATCCTGATCCTCTACTGGCACCTTTGTAGACCCCTTTTCACGCTACCCGTCTCTGGCTGACCTGCTACACGATGTTTCGCATGTCGGAAAGGAGGGGATGGTCTCTGCTGTAACTAAGACAGGATGGTGGGCCCCCCATTTTAGCTCCAGAGCAACCAGCCAGCCTGTAGTGAGAAGCATCTAAGTTTGTAAGGGCATTGAAAGTGTTAAGATCAGCTTAGAATGCATTTTGCTTTTATTTCATTTGACCAAATCTGACTTGTTATGCTTTGACTTATAATCACTTAAAATTTATCTCCGTAATTAATAAATCTGTTTGTTTATTCTACCTGAAGCAGTGCGTTTGGTTTGAAGTGTGGCAGAGACTCCCCTTGGAATAACAAGTCTGGTACATATCAATTTCTTTGTTAAATTGACAATCTTATATAAGCTTGCAGCATCCAGTGGGCATAACTGGACACTACAAGTCGGAGGTTCCTGGGGTTGTTTCTGGGACCGGAGATATTGGCTAGTGTCATTTGGTTGCAAGTATCTGGGAGCAGCTTACATGCTATAGGCCATGCGTGAACAGCCCAGGAGTGGGGGTTCTCACAGCAGAGCAGGGTAAGGCTGGCTCCAAGAGTCAAGGATTGGGGTGACCTAGCAGATTATCGGTCCAGATACCACCAGAGAGGAATGTCACACCTCCCCCGCTAATTTTCCTGGGAATCATGGAACTAAAACCTCTGTAAAACACTCTGACAATGTAGGCAGTTCATGCTTCTAAGCCTCCTTGTGGAGGCCCCCTTCCCTCCTCACCTAGTGCATCCAGTTCCAACCCCTGATTTTCATACAGTTTTCTTGTTCCAATTGTCAAAGTCAGATTCAAGGCTCACAGAATTTGTCAGACCACCCTGTTTATTCGCAAAGCGCTTTGCCAATGCACCCAGATATATGTGAGCCCCTCTCTGAGGCTCATGCTAACTTATTTATACAATTAAGCCAAAGCCAATTTAACATAAGAGACAAAAGGAAGCAGAAACTGACAAATATACATACATATCTTATTTGCATACTAACGTTAACCAATCTCCTAGCTCAGTAGGAGCTCTAAGTTAATTAGTTTGAGGACCCATTGTCTCACACTCCTTAATGTTTCTCTTCCTGACAACTATATTTCAACAAACCCTTCAAGTAGCATTTCTTTAATGAATTATAATTTCAAAATAATTCATTCTACTTTCACACCATGGAGAATGGCAGCCCTGGGCTCCCATTCAGATAAGCCAATTATACTCCTTCTCTGTGAACTGAAGCATGCAGCCAGGTATCAAGGGGACCCTGGTCAGGCTCTTTGCTTAATTAACTGTATGAAACCCCAGTTCCCCTGAAATCCCAGCTAAAGGATCAGTTTCTCTAGGGAGAGAACTGACCCCCTCCCCCCCAAGCCAGTAGCCCAGCTGGGATGTACCACTCTCAGTTTCCCAGGTGCACTCCTCACTCCACTCGCTCCAGGGCCCCTGGTAGCCATCCATGTGCACCCTTGCCCGCATTTTCCCGCTATATTGTGTGGAGGGCTCCAGCATCTGCAGGGTGAAGATGAGGGGAGGCTCGTCATTGCTGATGTTTACACCCTGGGCATTCTGGGAAGAGAAGAGATGGAGAAGGGGTGAGGAACTCTCTGTCCCATCCACCCACATCCCCAGCAGAGTCCTGGGCTCCCAGCAGTACCGTCACCTACCTCCAACGAGTCACCAGTCTTCCAATACAAGAATTCATATCTCTGGCCTATATAGGCATAGCTTAGGATCTGTTTTGTCCATCTCAGCTCATACTCCTGCTCTTTCCTCTTTGTCATTGTCACGTTAACAGGCGCACGTGGCTTGACTAGAACACAAACAACACGTTAGGAATATGCATCCATCTCCCAGCTTATCTTCCTGCCCATTCCCTTTCCCACTCTGGGCTGTGGGCAGGACTAAGGATACGCTGGTGCGAAACTTGTTGCCTGAGCAGACTAGCACCAAGGACGGCTAATAGCAGTGTCCCCGTCTGACACATCTCATCTCCACACGCCCATTCTGTACCTCCGCGCAGCAGTGCTCTGTTGGTGCCAGTCAGGAGCTCCAGTGCTGGGAGCTTCCTTTACCAGCCATCTGTCCCACCCATGCATCACTGTCTAGCTCTCTTGTTAACCATTCCACTTCTCTGCCAACCCAAGCATTTCCTAAGCTGGAGGAGAAACCTCCAGATAACCCTGGGCAGAGGATCCAAATGGGCTCTCACTGTTTTTGTAGGCTTTAATCAGTTTCTCCTCCTTCTTGGGCCGGACAGTTATGAGGTACTGGCTCAGCCTGCTGGGGTTGGTGACATTGATCTCACAGCTGTGGAACAGGTAGTGGCTGCCAGGCAATTCCTCCTCATGGACTGGAGAGCATTCTGTCTCTCTGGGGAAGAGAGCAGCCAGGCCTGAGTGAGCAGGAGGGATGGTCAGATATAGGAGGACAGGAATACGCTGCCATGGGCAGGTCACTTACTCTGATGCTGGTGGGGTTCTGTAGAAGAGCGTGAACAAGACAGAGCTGGTGACCTCTCTCCTCACTTCCCAGCTGCACGTTAGCCGATCAACCCCATTGAAGAGGCAGCGAAGGTTCTTGGGCTGAGCCTCATCCTCTATCGAGGAGACAGTGGTTAGTGTACCTCTGGGAGGGGCAGGGCTGGGAGGGATGGGGAGGACAGTGGAGCTGGGACTGATTGTGACCATTGAGGGAAAAAGAGAAAACTTTTAGACGTAGTCTACACTACAGAGTTAGGTTGATGTAAGTCTGCTTACATTGACCTAAGTAAATAAGTGTCTACACTAAAATTTCATTCCTGCTGATTTAAAGCACCTGCTATGCTGACTTAATATCTCCACCTCCATGAGCAGCATAGAATTTAGGTCGATGTAGTTCGGTCAAAGCAGTGTCAGTGTAGACACTGCGTTACTTACATCGGCTGTTAGTGGCCTCCAGGAGGTATCCCACAATGCTCCATTTTGACCACTCTGGTCACCATTTTTAACTCCATTGCTTAGCAGCCAGGTACACAGGAAGCCACCCCTCCCCTTTAAAGCCCTGTGAATTTTTGAAGTTCCATCTCCTGTTTGCCCGGCTTGGAGAGATCACCTAGCAACTCTCGAGCATGCCTAGCAACTACCCCGCTGACCATGCTGGCTACATGCTGCAGACACGCTCCTGCCTGGAGTACACTGGGATGCGGGGGGGGGGGGTCGGATCTCTTGGGTCTGTCAGGAGAAGAGGCCGTGCAGGTGCAGCTCTGATCCAGCCGTAGAAATGTCAACATCTGGGAGAAGATCACTTGGGGCATGGAGGAGAAGGGCTACAGGAGGGACCAGCAGCAGCACCATGTGAAAGCCAAGGAGCTGTGGCAGGGAGGCTAAAATCACTCTGGTGTGTAGCCGCAGACCGGCCATTTTTACAAAGAGCTGCATGCCATCCTCAGTGGAGACCCCACAACCACCCCAAAGAGCCCCATGGATATTTCAGAGGAGCCCTAGTCACAGGCCCCTGCCATGAACAGTGAAGACGAGGTGGAGGAAGAAGAGAAGGAGGAGAATGGGGGACAGGCGACTGGTGGTTCCAGCCTCACAGTGAGCCAGGACCTGTTTTTGAGTCCTGGGCAGTCCAGCCAGTCCCTACAGTCCAGCACAGGCGAGTCTGATGCAGGGGAAGGAACCTCTGGTAAGGCTGCAGTTTGCTTTGAAATTAGAGGGATGGAACCCCCAAAGTAGCAGGACATATCTGTTGATTTACTCCTTTTTTACTTAGGTTAGAAGAGGTAGTGAAGTAACCAATAGAGATAGTGTTGCTATCTGCTTTTTATTCCCCTGTAGAGTTAGGCAGAAGTGTCCCCACAGAACAGTTTGTTTATGTGCACCAGGATGTCCCAGGAATCCTTCATAGAGATCTTAAGGAAACTTTACTGGAGGTAGTCTGCAATCCCCTGCTGAAGGTTTCTGGGGAGGGCTGCCTTATTTCTTCCACCATGGTAGGACATTTTCCCACACCACTCAACAGACATCTATTTCATCTCCGCCCTTCCCCGGTGGAAACTTTCCCTCCTTTGCTACACGGATGTTATGCAGAACACAGCAGGCAGCTATAACCATTGGGATTTTTTTCACTGAAATGACTCACTTCTCCACTAGAGTGAGCAGATAGCAAGTGTGAAAAATTGGGATGGAGTGCAGGGCAATAGGTGCCTATATAAGACAAAGCCTTGAATATTGGAATTGTCCCTATAAAATCGGGACATCTGGTCACCCTATTCTCCACTGTCAATGAAGATCTCATTTTGGTGTCTCTGAGTTGGAGGGCTGGGGCGAGCTCTGTACACAAATCCAGGCATATGGCCTTGCACATCCGAAAGTTCTGCAGCCGCTGCGCATCATCCCAAACACGCATGACAATGTGATCCCACCAGTCAGTGCTTATTTCTCAGGCCCAGAACCAGCTCTCCATCATATGCAGCTGCTCCGTAAATGGCACCAACAACTTTGAATTGTTTCTTTCTATGTCCCACAGTAATCTAGCCTCCAAGGAATCATCATAGAAACCACAACTGCATTAAAAAGGCAAGAAGAAAAGCAACAGGGCAGTCTGCAAAATATCTTCAGTGTCTGTATACCAATGCAAGGAGTATGGGGAATAAGCAGGATGGACTGGAAGTCATGGTATATGAAGAAAATTATGACTTAATTGGCATTACAGAGACTTGGTAGGACACCTCTCATGATTAGAGGGATATAGTTTGTTCCAGAAGGATAGGTAGGGGGAAAAAAGGAGGCAGCATTGTGCTGTACATCAAGAATGTAGACACTTGCTCTGAGGTCCAAGAGGAAGTGAATGGCACACATACTGAGAGTTTCTGGGCGAGGACAAAAATGGAAAAGCATAGTAGCAATGTTATGGTGGGGGTCTATTATACAGCACCAAATCAAGAAGAGGAAGTGGATGAGGCATTCTACAAGCAGGTAACAAGATTAACTAACACACATGAGCTAATATTAATGGGGGATTTTAACTCCCCTGATATCTGCTGGCAGACTATTACAGCAAAACATAATATGTCCTTCGAAATCTTAGCATGTGTAGGGGACAACTTTCTGATTCAGAAAGTTGGAAGTAACAACCTCCATGATACCTTTGCCCTCTGAGTGGACCCCCAATCAACCCAGAGCAAGTGACGATTAACAACCAATCTAGTCCAATTTTAATATTTTTACAACAGGGTTATCTGTTCAATATAAGGGGTGGGCTGGAAAGTGGGGTTTTTCGCACTATAATGAGATTACCACATCCATGGTGTTTGGGGAGGACTTGGCCAATCATGTAAGCAGGCCAAGAGGGTGGGAATGGTCACCTGCTAAACACCCAGCGGCGAGCCCTGTCCCGGGTCCCAAAATCTGGGACAACCAAGGAGCGGTGGCGGACCCCCCCCCCAGCCCATCCCCTCCAGCAGGAGTGGGTTCAGGCCCAGGAGCCGAGCGGGGACCCCCTTAAGAACAGGAACCCCCCAACAACCAACCCCAAGCCCCGGGGTCTCAATGAATTCCACAACTGGCACCCCCAACCCCCGGGGGCCCCAACCACGGGAACGGGGGGGCGCAGAACCCCCCACACAAGGGGCTGGGGGAGCCTGAACTCCCAACATAGTGCAGCAACAGAAACAGTCACACCCGGGCCCCCACCAATGGGCAATCCCCCAGGACAGGGGCCCTCAAGAGGGGAGGGCCGGGCGGGCCAGGAAGGAGTGGGACCGGGAGGGGGAGCCCGAATCTTTATATCATTTTGTAGTAGAAAGTTTTTTAAAAAATTTTCTGGAGATGGATGGGTGGCTCCTGAAAATGTTTTCTTTCAAAAAGGAATTCGGGTTTTGATTCCCATGGTATGCTGGGGTGGCAGGAGGGGATGGTGGGGGGGGTTTTCGGGGGGGTGGAAAGGGGGGGGGGGTTTTTATCTTTTTCCATTTTTGAGTGTGGTAAGAGTGGAAACCTGGGAACCCCCTCAAACTTCCCTCTCCCCCCTCCCCCCACTATTGAAGTTTGATTTCCGATTTTAGGGTGGTTGTTTGGTGGTTCCCTCCCAAAAAACCCTTAGGGGTGACGGTCACATTGTGTTTTTTGGGGTTTGCCACTGGATGGGCTTTAGGAAAGGTTAGACAGACAACGGCTGGTTGTGAGTGAGGCCCAGGCAGTACATTTTTTTTGGGTAGGGGGGCCCTCCGACACCCCCACAGATGCAGGGACTAATTTCCTGGCAGGAACTATGAAAACCTTTGGGAAGCTCATGGGTAAATCACTTGGTCTACTCCTTACCATCATCAAACAAATGGCATGGAGAAGTTTAATGGAGCTTTGGGGCCATGATAAATTTGTAAATGAGCACTCAAATATTGGGACCTAGTAGGGGCCGGGGGCGGTCCAGGGGGGTTCGATGGGGGGCTGAAGGGGGGTAGGGGGGCAAAATGCCATGCTAGTGCCACTATTACCCAAACCAGCACAACAGCTGAACTAGACAACTGGAAACTCCTGGCCTAACCAAGGGGTACTGGGAGGGACAGCTTCTGACCCCTCCAAAGACTTGTAGATGGTTCCTAAGGGGGATTAGAGAATATGCAGTCCGGGGGGGCCTACCTTGACGATGTGGCCATCCCCCGGGGGCGAGTTTGGAAGGATAGGTAGGGGGAAAAAAGGAGGCAGCATTGTGCTGTACATCAAGAATGTAGACACTTGCTCTGAGGTCCAAGAGGAAGTGAATGGCACACATACTGAGAGTTTCTGGGCGAGGACAAAAATGGAAAAGCATAGTAGCAATGTTATGGTGGGGGTCTATTATACAGCACCAAATCAAGAAGAGGAAGTGGATGAGGCATTCTACAAGCAGGTAACAAGATTAACTAACACACATGAGCTAATATTAATGGGGGATTTTAACTCCCCTGATATCTGCTGGCAGACTATTACAGCAAAACATAATATGTCCTTCGAAATCTTAGCATGTGTAGGGGACAACTTTCTGATTCAGAAAGTTGAAGTAACAACTAGGGGGTCATCCATTTTGGGCCTGGTATTGACCAAAAGGGATGAATTAGTTGTGAACATGAAGGTGGCCGGGAACTTGGGAGGAAGTGATCATGATCTGATAGAATTCAAGATCCTAAGGAAAGGAGGACATGAGAACAGCCTAAAAAGAACACTGGACTTCAGAAAGATAGATTTCAACCAACTTGGAGAAATAGTAGGCAAGGTCCCATGGAAAGACCAGTTAGGAAGAAAAGGAGCCAAAGTGGGCTGGCGGTTTCTAAAAGATGTAATATTAGAGGCTCAACATCAAGCTATTCTAATGCAGAAGAAAGATAAGACGAGTCACAGGAGGCCAATGTGGCTGCGCAAGCAGTTTTTTACCTATCTAAGAACCAAATGGGACACATCCAGGCAATGGAAGGAGGGGCGTGTCACCAAGGAGGGTCACACATGGGAATAGTGTGAGTGTGTAGGGACAAAATCAAGAAAGCCAAGGCAAGAATGGCATCTGGCAAGGAATGTTAGAGACAACAAGAAAGAATTCTACAAATGTGTCAGAAAAATCAGGGATGATGTGAGCTGCTGTTCAATGGAGAAGGTGAGCTGGTAACAGAAAATAGTAGGCACTGAGCAGCTATGCCTTCCTTTGTTTCAGTCTTTCACAGAAAATAACATGTGACTGGATGACTAGTGTAGTTACCATACATAATAAAGAGGAAGGGATGCAGATCAGAATAAAGAACACATCAGAGATCTTTTGACTAATTTGAATGAATTCACGTCAGCAGGGCCAGATGCTATTCACCCCAAGGTGCTGTAGGAATTAGCTGAAGAAAACTAGGAGCCACTTGTGATAATATTTGCTAACTCATGGATGACAGGAGAGGTCCCGGAAGACTGGAGAAGGGCTAACATAGTGCCCACCTTTAAAAAGAGGAGCTGGGAACCATCGACCAGTCAGCCTGACCTCAATTCTTGGGAAGCTACTAGAGCAATATTTAAAACATTCAGTTTCTGAATACCTGGAGGATGAAGGGTGATCACTGGCAGCCAGCATGGATTTACTAAGAACAAATCATGCCAAACCAGCCTGATTTCCTTCTTTGACAGGGTAACTGGTTTGGTGAATGGGGGAATGCAGTGGACATAATATACCTGGACTTCAGCAAAGTTTTGGACACAGTCCCACATGACATTCTGATAAGTAAGCTGGAGAAATGTGGACTCAGCGGAACTACCATTAAGTGCATGCATAATTGGTTAAACAACCACAAAGAGTAACAATTAATGGAATGATATCGGATTGGAAGGGGGTCTCAAATAGGGTTCCACAAGGATCTGTTCTGGGTCTGGTGTTATTTAACATCTTTTTACATGACCTGGATGTAGGAATAGAGAGCATAGTGATCAAATTTGCAGATGACATAAAAGCTGGGGGAGTTGCAAGCACTTTGGAGGATAGAGTTAAGATGCAGAGGAATCCTGATGAATTGGAGAATTGGGCAATAGACAACAAAATGAAATTTAACAAAGACAATGTAAAGTGCTACACATAAGGAAGGGGGGAAAATGTACAAATACAGACTTGGGGATAACCGGCTTGGCAGCAGTACTGCTGAGAAGGATCTGGGAATTGTGGTGGATCACAGCCTCAGCATGAGTGAGCAACGTGAAGCTGCTGCAGAAAAAGGTTGCATTAACAGAGGCGTAGCATGTTAGTCAAGGGAGGTGATAGTTCTGCTCTACTTGGTGCTGGTTAGGCCTCAGCTAGAGTATTATGTCCAATTTTGGTCACCAATGTATAGAAAGGATGGAGAGAAACTGGAAAGGAGCCAGAGGCAGGCAACAAAGACCAAAGAGATAGAATGTAAGCTCTATGAGCAAAGGCTGAAGGAACTGGGTATGTTCAGATTTGAAAAGAGAATAAGGGGGGACATGATAGTGGTCTTCAATACTTGAAAGGCTGCCAAAAAATATGAAGAAAGGTTGTCCTCTCTTGCTACAAAAAGCTGGACAAGAGGCAATGGGTTCAAACTATAGCATAGCAGATTTAGTTTAAATCTCAGGAAAAACTGTAAAAACAGTAGGACAATGGAACAGATACCTAGAGAGGTAATGGAAGCTCATTCTCTGAAGGTTTTCAAAGCAGGCTGGATAGCCAACTGTCTTGGATGGTTTAGATACAAGAAATCCTGCATCTTGGCAGTAGGTTAAACTAGATGACCCTTGCGGTCCCTTCTAACCCTGTGATTCTATGTTTCCCCACGGCTCCTCTGGCAGCTCTGCAAACATTGCAAGATCAAGCGCCGTGTGCTCACAACGCTCATCACAATAGCTACCCACGGTGCACTGCTCTCTGCATCTGATGAGGATGCGCAACACCAACACAAAGAGCATAGTGTGGACACACACAAATGATTTAATTACTGTGGAGGCTGTATGCCAACGTAACTTCGATCAACATAATTTAGTAGTATAGAGATGCCCTCTGTTTCAGGGTTTTCTATAGGAGCCCAGAGCATTAAGCTGGTCCATTCATCCAAAAGATACAATCCACGTATTGCAATACACAGAGAGACCGGCCTCTCCTGAGCCCACATTCCAAAACCCACCATCTCCATTGGCACTCACTGGCCCTGTTGCTGAGAGGCTGGATACTGAGCACACCTAGAAGGGTCCCATCAAAGCGAGGGGTTTGAGGTGCAATGGCAGGGGAAGTGTGTATAAGGAGCTTCTACTGCCCCTGCGAGTGCTGCACTGGGACTGGTACCTGTGCCGTGGGACTAACCAGAGAGCTGAAGTTTCCACGGCTCCTGCTCTGCTACCTGTCAGTGACATCAAATTCACTTCATATAAGAGAGCACCAGTGAAACGGGACCATTTTCATCAAATTCCAGAGATTTTCCAATGTCATCAGTTCAGCCCCCAAATCCTTTGGAAGCAAAACACAATATCCCTCTGCTGCCAGCATCTCATCACGTCCCTCCTTCCCCCCATGGCCCCTCAGCCTCCAGAATTACCTTCCTGGGACCTCCAGGACACAGCAGTGCTCCATTCGCTGGACTGCCCAGACCAACCAGCGCCCTGGCTCGGCTTGGATCGCACACGAGCAACATAGGTGCTGCCCGGCACAAGGGCATCACGCCTCAGCAGGCAGTGGGAGGCGCTTGCGACTGACACCGAGGAAGATTTCTGTCAATGGGGAAGAGATAGCAAGGAGTCAGGGGCGGTGAAGAGAGAAAGAGAGAGAGAGACATGTTAGAGAGGCATGGGAGGATCCATTTCTTGGCAATTCTGCTCAGCCAAGCACAGCCAGCACTGTGATCCCTGGGTAAGGAGGAGCCAGATGCTCCTTGTGCAGGGCTCATTGCTCTTATAGCACACAGGCTGCTTTTTAATTGCTAGATCTCTGGTCTTAACCAGCCAAGGCCATGGCTGGATGGCACAGGACTTCTAAGATGCACACACAGCTAGCTGCAACGTGCACGGACCCACGGTCTGGGCCATTCAGGTTTCAGAGGATCGGCTGGGTTCAGCAGCAGCCGAGCAGGTTTCAGAGGATTGCAAAGGGTTGTCTTCTGCAACCAAGAACAGCACGTGCCAATGCTTAAGCATATCTCATTCCTACCTCCCAGGATTCCCACTCCTGCTTGTAGGTCACTTCAAACTCCAATGCATCATATACCCAGTGGCTTCCCTTTCTCTCTCCAGCTGCTTCCCAGGCCAGCAAGAAGTTGCCTGCTTCTGTGACGTTGATCCAGAGCTTCTGAGGTGGGAGGGGCTGGACTGGAAATGAGAAGGGACAACATGGGTTGCAGTTATTAGTAGATGGGGATGGGGAGTGGGCAGAGGGCCTGTCTAGTTCTTATCTCCGTAAGGAAGGACCCAGATCTGCCTAACTTCAGGCTTTTGTGGGATTTATCAGGACTGCTGCAACAAAAAAGAAAAAAAAAATCTAAGGCCTGTTGGCACTTGGCAGTGCAACAAGTAGAATTGCCAAGGCCATAGTGAAAATAGTGGTGAGCGGAACAGAAGGGTAATAGGGAATTGAGTGCTTTATTCATTTAAAGGTGAAGTCATATTAATGAATATTTTTCTGAGTAAAAAGGTTTGTTTGAGATCAGTTTTTTCCTAATGGCAGAGACACTCAGCCAGTGCAAGAGGGTGGGTCAACTGGGAGGAATACATCCGCCTTTTCCATTGTAGGCAGGCAAGGAAGGAATCCGTCCATCCATCATCCTCTAAGTGAGAAATGGGAACACGGGCCTCACAATGGAAATGAAACTATTCCTGGCAAGATAATAGGCTGACATACAGAAGTAAGGTTCAAAGTTAGAGATCAGGATTCTTGACTAGGGTTAGGGGATCAGGCAGAGGAAGAAGTATTAATTTCAAAGGATCTCAGATATTCCTGGGGAGAAGAGAGCGGTGGGTGTCTCGCCCTTACCATTCTGGAAGAGGCTGATGTTCAGCTTGGCCTGCAGCAACCGATCAGGTTTGAAAGTGTAACTGTCATGCACTCCAACAGCAAAAAGGGTGCTGTTTCTGTGGCAGCTCCAGCCGACACAGAAGTCCTGGCAGACAGGCAGCCTCTTGGCTCCCTGAGGCTCACATGGGATCTGTGTGCTTCTCCTGTGTGTAAAAAGAGAGACCTAGGAGAAGCTGATTTAGGTACAGATAGAAAATCCAAAATTAGGCTCCTGAGACTTTCCCCACATTCTGTTCTAGTCTATATAGATTCTTCTGCTGCACTCATCATCGTAGCATCTGAGCGCCTTCAAGTAGATCATTAAGCAATGTGACTCCACCTCTGTCACCTGTGGCTGGGTCTCTCATCCTCTCCCCAGGGGGAAAAGCATGTGAAGTGCAGTGTCTCGTGTTGGTAGGGATTTTTTTTTAAATATACACATGTTGCTATGTATTTATATTAAAGAAGGCATGTCAAAGAGATAGTCTCGCACTTGGAGTGGAAGGTGAGGTTGTGACTGTTGTTAAGTTTCCACAGAAGTTGATTCCACAGTCTCAGACTGGCCCCTGAGAAAGCTCTGTCTCCAGCTCAGATGAGCATTACTCTTAGTGACAAGAGTTCCATTGTGCCAGAGGAGCAGAGTTGTCAACCACAATTTTTGTTCGAGAACGTTAGATGGCCCATTAGATGGCTTGCGCCCCAACCTTGGAGAGCCTTGAAGATAAGGACGAGACCTTTAACTTGATTTACACACTGTAAGGAGAGTGATCACTTTAGATAAGCTATTACCAGCAGGAAAGTGGGGTGGGGGGAGAGAAAACCTTTTGTAGTGATAAACATCCATTTTTTCATGGTCTGTGTATATAAAAACATCTTCTGTATTTTCCACAGTATGCATCCAATGAAGTGAGCTCTAGCTCACGAAAGCTCATGCTCAAATAAATTGGTTAGTCTCTAAGGTGCCACAAGTACGCCCTTTCTTTTAACTTGATTTGAAATTCTGTGGGAAGCCAGTGTAGAGAGCGGAGGACAGTGGTGGTGAGTTCCTGGTAGCCTGAGGAGACACATTGCAGTGTCTGTACTAGCTGGAGTTTCCTACACACTGAAGGTTTCATGCCCAGGTACTTTGCCTTGCTGTGGTCCAGCTGAGAAGTGACAGAGGGGTGAATAACTGAAGCCAGGTCCTCTAGGATGGGACCGAGTCTCCCAGCCAACCAGAGATGATAAAAAGCGTTACTTGCTGGCGCTGCTATGTGGGAGCTTAGGGTCGGCAAGGAATCCAAGAGTACTCCTCAACAATGGACAGAACTGACCGATTGTGGGTATGTGACTTCAGCCAAAAGAGACTGCACTGTGGGCGCAAACTCTTCAAAATGCTTTCCTCTGCCCACCAGCATCACCTCTATCTTGCTCTGGTCCAGCTTCAGCCAGCTGTTCTTCACCCATGAGCTGGTCTCATCCAAGCACTGGGACGTCTTGGTGGTAGTGGTGTGCTTGTGTGCGGTGAAGGGTAAGTAGTGAGCTGTGTTTCATTGGCATATTGCTGGCACTAGTGTCCATGTTGTCTGACTAGTTCACACTCATCCCAGGATCCATCCTCACAGCTCATCTTCTGATTGGACTCCAGAGCATTCTCTCCAAGGTCAAGTCCTTGTGCGGGTTCTTTTTCCAGAGGTGATGGGCTCACTTAGGTCCCAATCCAAAGCCCAGTGAAGTCAGCGGGAGTCCCTCCACTGACTTCAATAGGCATAGGATCAAGCCACTAATGATTTCAGCATCTCTTCCCCAAAAGACAATAGAGATGATACCTTCCTATTCCCCACCACTTCCCCCCACTCCTAAACCCTGACCTCTATTTTCCTTATCTCCCCATCTCTTGCTTTCCACACATCCCCTTTCTGTCCCTCTCCCTTTCTGCCCACCACATCCCTCGGGGCCTGATGGCTCAGTTCCCCTCTCAGAAGGAAACAGATGTGGTGGGCAGATGCTGAGGTACACAGCCCAGTCACTCTGTGAGGAAACCCAATTGCATAACTAGGCATAACCACTTCTCTTTTCACAGCCTCTCCACCCATCCTTATTTTGCAGACATGACCTCACCAGAGCTATGTTCCTTCTGACGCTGCAACAAAGAAGAGCCAGGGGAAAGTTTGGGAGCAGGGAACCATCCCTCTCTCTTCTGCTGATGAATGAACCTCAACCCAACTGTATTCTAATGCCTCTTTCTCCACTCCAGGTGCAGTAAGCTAACAGGCCCTGCCATCACTCACAACTGGGATCCCCCAGAAAAATCAAGGGAGAGTGATAGAAAAGGTAATGAAAATAAACTGGTCAGCGCACCTTCCCGTATCTCCCCATCCTTCCAATGCAGACCTAAAAGAGTCTCCAAATTCCACCCCCCAGCAAGGCCAGCACAGGTGTCCACATGCGCCTCAAAGCCGGCTGCCAACTTGGATCCCTTTCCCTCCTCCCATTCCCAACTCTTAGGTTCAGCAGCCACAGGCCTCTTATGTCCTTCTGCAGCAGAGCAGGGCTCAGGCACTTACTTGTCTATATTGTCCTCATAGTGAAGAGTCACATTGAGGAAGCGACGTGCCTCTGTGCACTCCTGCCATGTGCAGGTCGTCTGGGAGGTGTAGTCATTGTAGCAGCGCAGGCTCTGCATCGGGAGGCTCTCTGCAGGGCGAAGGAAAGCACAACGCTGCCAGTGGGTCATAGAGATGGGCAGTGAGGAATAACGGGATGTGCACACCAGTGCCATGGCGGGAAGGGCAAAGATGGGGGAAGGAGGCGCGAAAGGGTAAACTCTCCCGGGAGTCCCTCGCATGTCAGTTAGCTCATGTGTCAGGGATGGCATGGACAAAAACCTCCCCCTCCCCAACGCTCACAATCCAGAGGCTGGAAAAGAGAGGTTTACTTACCAGGAGCTGTGGTAATGAGAGAATTGTCCCTGTGCATTCACAGTCTGGCTAACTTGTGTGAGTCTCTCAAGATTTTGGTAATTAATTGATCTTTAAATATTCATGGTAAATAGGCCTAATGGCCTGTGATGGGATGTTAAATGGGGTGGGATCTAAGTTACCCAGGGAAGAATTTTCTGTAGTATCTGGCTGGTGAATCTTGCCCATTTGCTCAGGGTTTAGCTGATCGCCATATTTGGGGTTGGGAAGGAATTTTCCTCCAGGGCAGATTGGAAGAGGCCCTGGAGGTCTTTCGCCTTCCTCTGTAGCATGGGGCATGGGTCACTTGTTGGAGGATTCTTTGCTCCTTGAAGTCTTTAAATCATGATTTGAGGACTTCAATAGCTCAGACATAGGTGAGAGGTTTTTCACAGGAGTAGGTGGGTGAGATTCTGTGGCCTGCGTTGTGCAGGAGGTCAGACTAGATGATCATAATGGTCCCTTCTGACCTTAGTATCTATGTATCTATGTATCTATGAGTGTCGAGCTACTGAGTGTTTTTCTTAAAGCCCCAACATCTGCACTGAGGTTATTACCCGAGAATCTCACTTTTCATGTACAAAAAGTAAGTGTCTGACCTACACGGTTGGGAAGAGAAGCTTGAAGGATGAGCCCTAAATACACCAATGACAAACGACAAATCATCCCCACCTGTACCCCCGCAACTGTATTCTCATTCAAATCTCATGATATTTAAGTCACTCTCAGGATTTTTTAGGCCTGACCCTTGATTTCTGAACACTGGGGGTTGGCAGTTCTGATTCGCATTGTGGGAGTCGCCCTGGTGGTGAGCACACACAACCCTCGTTGAAAGCCATGTCTGTGGGGGATGCATGAGCATCCTCAGAGTGTTATGGGTCAGACGACCTCCGCTGCATACTGGAGTGTGCCCACCAACCGCCTCCATTCCTTCTCCTGAACTGCTTTATTATTGTTGAATTATTTCAGAAGGTGTCGCTAGCAGTAATGCACTATATGACGTCACATGATGTCAAGTCATGCCATAAAATGCCCAAGTGAAGGACTCGGCAATGAAGAGGGCTGTCCTGGTGTGAGCATGGGATTTGGACCTGAGAATAGATCACATAGCTTAATAGCCTCAGAGGTCAGATAGGCCTGGAGACTTGGGTGTCTTTCCCTGAGCGTGTGAGAGATGAAAGCCCTGCCAATAGCACATTGGGCTGGGGAGTGTGATTGCCCCAGCACATCAGACATCAGACATGCACATCCACCTCTGGAAAGAGAGATGTGCATGAGGCACCTCCTCTGAAACCTGTTTTAGGGTCTGTACAGGGTCTGGGCTTGGTGCAGAGCTGGGGCAGCAGGGGCTCAGAGGGAACATTGAGGAATTTGGAGAAATTCCTCCCTCTCTAAAGTACACTGACCTAGAACAAAGCAACAAACAACTAGCTCTAACAGTGGTGGGCAAACTACGGCCCGTGGGCCGCATCCGGCCCTTCAGATGTATTAATCCAGTTCTGTGTGCCTCCTGGAAGCAGTGGCATGTCCCCTCTCTGGCTCCTACGTGTAGGGGCAGCCAGGGGGCTCTGTACGCTGCCCCTGCCCCAAGCGCCACACCCACAGCTCCCATTGGCCAGGAACCACGGCCAATGGGAGCTGTAGGGTCGGCACCTGCGGACGGGGCAGCGCACAGAGCAGCCTTGCTGTGCCTCCGCATAGGAGCTGGAGAGTGGACATGCCGCTGCTTCCAGGAGCTGCTTCAGATAAGCGCCACCTGGAGACTGCACCCCTGACACCCTCCACGCTCTAATCCCCTGCCCCAGCCCTGATCCCCCTCCCACCCTCCGAACCCTTTGGTCCGAGCCCAGAGCACCCTCCTGCACCCACAACTCCTCATGCCCAGCCCCACCCCAGAGCCCTCAACCCCCTCCCCCAGCCCAGAACTCCCTCCTGCACCCTGAATTCCTCATTTCTGTCCCCACCCCAGAGCCCGCACGCCCAGCCAGAGCCCTCACCCCCTCCCACACCCTAACCCCCAATTTTGTGAGCATTCATGGCCTGCCATACAATTTCCATACCCAGATGTGGCCCTTGGGCCAAAAAGTTTGCCCACCCCTGAACTAGCTCTAACTGTGCACAGATGGGGGATTAAACCTAGAAACAGGAGCAGTCAATGGATATGACAGAGGGTCCTGTTTGTTCTCTGCAGTGGTAAAGAAGGAACTAAGGCAGTTCAGAGGGATGGACACTCCTAGACATGGGCCTTTGACACTGACACTGGTGACTTACTCTGTCTCCCTGCCCCTCACATATTCCCCCCTCCTCTCTGTCTCTCTCTCACACACACCTCACACAGAGTCATCCTCCCATTTGTCCACACCTCCAAATGGTTATTCGTTCACTTACACTCCCACCCGAATCTACATGTCATTCTATCCCTCCATGCTCCTTCAGAGGTCTGTCTATCCCTGCACTGCACCTCCAGTTCATCCACCTACTCACCAGCCGGCTTGTTCACACATTTGCACAATAGCCCACCTGTCCATCCATCCATCTACTCACTCTCCTGCTCTTCCATCCATCCATCCATCCACTTCTCCATTCATCTACTTCTCCATTCGGCCATTTCTCCATTCAGCCATGCACCCTCCCACCTGTAAGTCCATCCACATTTCCATGCACTTACCATACCATCCATTCATATAAACAATCGCCCTCTTGCCTGTCAATCTAGTCACCAACAGATACATCTGGAATGGCAGAGGGAGCAGTCGAGCAGAGGAAAGGGGGAAAGAAGGAAAGGGAATGGAGGAGAGTAAAGGGACTGGAAGGAGGGGAGGGAAAATGACAAAAAGGGCAGGGAAGAAAAAGAAGCTGAAAAGAAACTGAAACTCACCTCGAGATTCTCCGAACCTGAAAGCCCAGCACAGAGCCAGCAGAGCACTCCAGAACGCCTTCATGTTCATGCCAGCCTGAGCCCACCAGCTCAGTCCTGCTCCCTGTGCTCTGGGCTGGTCGCCGGCCTGGGGTTCTTGTACTCACACTTGTTCACTGCTTCTTTGTCACCTGTTAAATGTGGAAGCCAAGCTGTGATGGTCAGGTGGGAGAGGTTGGGACCTTCTATGAGATACAAAACCTCCCCTCCCTGCACTGAGGGGACCTTTCACTGATCCATCAAGGCCACAAGGAACCATTAGGTCACCAAGTCAGACCACCTGTAGGACACAGGCTGGAGAATAGAATTTACTTCCAGGACCGATTCATTGCAGGATAGAGGGGAATTCAGTCTCCATGTTCATTCACCACTGGGCTTTCCCCACACATATACACATCTCCCTCATTTGTTCTCAAGCCTGCCCTAGAGACTCACCATCCTACCCTACCCCACCCCATCTCCCCCACTCATATACATCTCCCCTCTCTTGGGATGAGATGGGGATTCAGTCTTCATGTTCCTTCAGTTCTGGGCTTCTACCCCATCTGCTTCTCCTCCAGCAAGCCCGCAGGTGAGAATTGCTTTGAAGTGATTCCAACTGGCAGTTTGCAGCCAGCTCCCCGGGAATTGCTTTGGGACCCTGACCCACAGGCATAATCCCAAAGGAGCTTTAGTGTCTCTTTTTGTGGGATCTAGCATTTAATTCAGTGGTGCAAAGAGCATGGCCAAATTCTCCACTGGGGTAACTCAACGGAAGTTAGAGTTGCACCACTGGAGAATGTGCCCCCATATTACTGCTTTCTAAAGAGCATGACAGACGCCCCCCGCCTTGGCCCCAGCCACAGAGCCACGCCTCTGTGCTCTGGCGATGTCTGATCAGTGGCTTTTTCCCACTTTGCGGGAGCATGGAGTTGGGGAGCCATCCAGAACAACCCCCAGCTTCCTAAATGCCATTTCCTTTGATAGAATCTGGTGTGCTAGACAAGTGAACATTCACCACAGAGAAGAGATCCCACTGTGACTGATGGCTCCAGAGCTCGTGAGCCCTTGTCTGTCTGGGGACAGGCTCTCTTTGCCACGTACCCTTCCCCCAGTAAAGGCGGAGTTTTCTCACCTGAGCCAAGAGTTGCCGGTGGGACAGCCGCCTCACAGCAGGTGGATCGCTGGCCCGCTCAGTTCTCAGTTCCTGGCAGCTGGAGCGTCTTTACGCATACAGGAATCAGCAATGACCACGGCTGTCCAAAACTGGAATGGATCCCCATAGGAAATAATGAACCTGGGGTATTCCCTACGCCTTTTGCCCTCTGAGGGCTTCCACACCCCTATCTGCCTCCTTTCAGGGAGTAGACACAGTCCTGAGCACTCTGGATTTGGAGGGTGAGACTCAGACTCTGAACTTCCTATTTTTGCAGTTTGTTTCATACCCTCGGAGCGCCTACTGATGCAGTTCTTAAAATCTGGGCGGGGAAGGAAGTATTTCTCTTTTCATTGTTATATTGTATTGTTTCTGATTAAACAGTTTCCAGGAATCAGGGGACATGGTTTTCTTGAAATCAAGAGTTATATGCTGCTAACAGAGGCTAGCCCTTGCTTCCTACCTCCTTGCCCCCTCCCGCCAGCCCCTCAGACCCTTGGGAAGAAGACAGAAGGAAAAGGGAAATAGTTCCCTCCCTTCTTGTCCCCTGTTTGTTTCATCCACCTGCTGTGTCTTCCCATAACCTAGGTTGTAGATCTTTGGGGGAAGGGATTACTCTTTACTATATTGACCCCTGGAGTCCCAGTGAATTCAGTGAGCTTTGGATCATACTTTAAATAATAAAGAGAGCACAAGAGGAGCTAGAAGAAAATTAGAGGGTGGAAATGTAGGATAACTCACCCAAGAATCCCACATGGTTTTAAATACAACTTCCTGTAACTACCAATTAGCCTTCAACCTAGAGGCCCATGAAGTGGGCTACGGAGAGTTGTGAGTGTCAAAGATGGGGCCCTCTGAAGCCTAGCAGCCCTTTGGCATGGTTATAAGGGTCAAGGTGGGGCATGAAGGCAGACTGGGGGCCACCATTCCTCTGAGGTTGGTTGTAAAGGCATTTATAGGCCACGGCTGGGGCAGTGTGCAGTGCAGTGCCCAGGGAGAGTGTGTGTAAGGGGCACGGCGTGGGGTTAGTGGCGACAATGGCAGGCTATAAAAGGCTATATCAGACTGAGTGTTAGGACACCCTGTAGCCCAGCAGCCCCGTGAGACAGGCTGCAAGGGACCAGAATGAGTCAGGCCCAAGTGTAGGGCTCCACTTGCTACAGGGTACATCTGCACTTCAAGCTGGGCGGTGACTCCCACTTCCAGGAGACACACTAATGCTACTTTAAAAGACAATACCGACGGCAGCGTGAGCAATGGGAAGAGCTAGCAGCCCCCAGTGTGTACCCATCCAAGACCCCAGGCGCAGTGAAAGTATATGGGAACAAGACCCTGGGAATCGTTCCCTGCATAGCTTATCAGAGGGGACTTTTGTGATCATCTAGTTTGACTGCCTAACTCAGGCCATAGGACTTCCCTGAATTAAATGCCTCGATGAACTAGTGCAGCTCTTTTAGAAAAACAGCCAGTGTTGATTTTAACATTTCCAGTAATGGCAAATCCGCCACAGCCCTTGCTAAATTGTTCACTGATAAAAACGTTAAATAGTGTAGGGCCAAGAACAAATCCCTATGGACCCCACTTGCAGTACAGTGATGATTTCCCATTTACAGTTACTTTCTGAGACCTATCCATTAGTCAGCTTTTAATGTGTCGTGTTGATTTTGAATCAGTCTAGTTTCTTAATCAAAATATCCGGCGGTACCAATTCAAATTCAGAAAGCAAAGTATATTATATCTACACTAGACCTTCATCAGCCAAACTAGTAATCTCATAAAAAAATATCGAATCTGACAAGATTGATTTGCCATAAACCCATGTTGATTGGTATTAATTATATTACTCACATTTAATTCTTTACTAATTGAGTTCCATCTCAGCAGCTCCATTAATTTACCTGGGATCAATGTCAGATTGACAGGCCTATAATATCCAGGTCATCCTGTTTACCTTTTTAAAGTATTGACACAACATTAGGTTACTTCCTGTCTTCCGGAACTTTTCCAGTGTTCTAAGACTTACTGAAATTCAACATTAACAGCCCAGACGTCCTCAACCACCTCTTGTAAATTCCTGGACCTGCTGATTTAAAGATATCTAACTCATAGGCACTGACTCTGTGGGTGCTCCAGAGCTGGAGCACCCATGGATAAAAATTAGTGGGTGCTTAGCACTCACTGGCAGCCAGCTCCCCCCCTCTTGCCCCTGCACCTCCCCCTCCCTCCAAGCATCTACTGCCTGCCGCAATCAGCTGTTTCGCAGCGTGCAGGAGGCTCTGGGAGTGAGGGGGAAGAGTGGGGATGGGGCATGATGGAGGGAGGGGAAGAACTGGGTGGGAAAGATGTGGGGCGGGAAGAGGTAGGGAAGGGGTGGGGGCTGGGGGGAACGGGTCGGGTGGGGGAGGGGCCTGGGGCAGAGCCGGGGGTTGAGAACCCCCTGGGCCTGGAGGAAGCTGGCACCTATGGTCTAGTAGCTGCTGTTTAACATCCTTCTCAGTTACTATTAGAATGGAGAGTCTTTCATCTTCATCATACAATATGAATACATCACCCTGCTTTCCCCCCCAGAAATACAGAACAGAAATGGTCATAGATAAGGCCCTACCAAATTCACGGCCATGAAAAACACATCACGGACCCGTGAAATCTGGTCTCACCCCGTGAAATCTGGTCTTTTGTGTGCTTTTACCCTATACTATACAGATTTCACAGGGGAGACCAGCATTTCTCCAGTTGGGACTCCTGACCCAAAAGGGAGTTGTAGGGAGGTCGCAAGGTTATTTTAGGGGGGGTCGTGGTATTGCCACCCTTACTTCTGTGCTGCCTTCAGAGCTGGGTGGCCAGAGAGAGGCAGCTGTTGGCGTGGCGCCCAGCTCTGAAGGCAGCGCCCCATTAGCAGCAGCGCAGAAGTAAATGTGGCAATACCATGCCATGCCACCGCTACTTCTGTGCTGCTGCATGCAGAGCTGGGCGGCCAGAGAGTGGCGGCTGCTGACTGAGGGCCCAGCTCTGCAGGCAGCAGCACAGAAGTAAGGGTGGGAATACCACACCGTGCCATCCTTCCTTCTGCGCTGCTGCTGACGGTGGCGCTGCCTTCAGAGCTGGGCTCCCGGCCGGCAGCCGCCGCTCTCCAGCTGCCCGGCTCTGAAGGCAGCGCCGCCGCCAGCAGCAGCACAGAAGTAAGGGTAGCAGCATCGCAACCCCCCCCTACAATGACCTTGCGACCCCCCACCCCTCCTTTTTGGGTCAGGACCCCTACAATTATAACATCATGAAATTTCAGATTTAAATAGCTGAAATCATGAAATTTACTATTCTTTAAATCCTATGACTGTAAAATTGACCAAAATGGACCGTGAATTTGGTAGAGCCCTAGTCATAGAAAACATCTGCCATTTCTGTACTACTGACAATTCTACCATTGCTGTCTAGTAATAGACCCGTACCATTGTTGGGACGTCTGTCCATGGAATTTCAGTACTGTAGCAAAGATTTCACAGGAGTTCCTCACTGTAGTGAGAACAGGGGGAGGAAGAAGGGTCTGTGACCAGGCAGTGAGGGCGTGTGTATAGGAAAGCATGTGAGCAAGGAGCAGAGTGGAAGGTGTGCAGAGGAAGAAGGGTTTGCTTTGTATCACACTGCAGAATCAAATGATTCTCCACAGTCCAGGGTGATTTTTGCCAGATACAGGTTTCCTGTTTGCCAGAGGTCATTCTCCCTCCCTTTCCTTCCCCTGCAAAACAATCCCGCATTCACAGAATTGGCTTGCAAGATTGGTGGTGGGGGGATGTGTCTCTTCCAGTCAAAAAGAACCTTCAGTTTTCCTTTGCTCAAGTAAACTCCAGGGCTAAGTGACAGGTGATCCAGCACAAAGCTCCTAAGCCTCTAGGGGGCTTTGTAACCTGGGCCCATCAATCAGCTTTCAGATGGCTGGCAGGTCCCTTGTCTCACCCAGAGGACAAATTGTGAGCCAATCAATTACCGCATCCCGTGTTATTTCAGTCCTCTTCTTTCCTCTCCCCGCTCCAACCCTGCAAGGCCTGGAAAGTGGAAGTTGGATTTAGTTTTGTAAAAGACACAATCTCCATCACGCTTTCAGTCCATGAAAAATACAAGACATCACCTGTGTCCAGGCTGGGTGTACACTAATTGGTTGTGGAATCAGATGTGCTTGGATCCTTCAGCTGAACGCCTTCACACTTGGCAAGTTGGAACAAAGAAGAGACTTCCAGCACAATCTGCCATGGCCCCTCCCCAGGCTGTTCTAATTAGCAGAAGTTCTCTTCCCTTCCCCCACTGCACAATGGACCAACTTCAGAGAAGAGAAATAAGTGTTTATAATTCAAAGCAACAAGCCTTTGGAGCAGGGATGCTCAGCTTTATTAAGGCTTATAATACTGTCTCACATGACCGTCTCATAAACAAATTAGAGAAATATAACCTAGACAAACTTACTAGAAGGTGGGTGCACAATTGGTTGGAAAAGTATACCCGGTAAGTAGTTATCAATGGTTCACAGTTTAGCTGGAAAGGCATACCGAGTGGGGTCCTGCAAGAATAATAGATTCTGCAGGGGAGATGCTACAATTACACCTTTGGCTCACCAGGAGCTGCTGTGGTGACAGAGGAGAGGGCAGCTGGCTCACCACCAAAACAGCCAACCAGAGAGGGAGGGGTACTTTGGCCTTGGCCCCCAACTTCTACATAGATTCCAGCGCCATTGCCTGCAGGGATCTGTCCTGGGTCTGGTTCTATTTAATATCTTCATTAATGATTTGGCTAATGACATAGAGAGCAGACTTATAAAATTAGTGGACAAGACCAAGCTGGGAGAGATTGCAAACACTTTGGAGAATAGGATTGGAATTCAAAATGATCTTGGCATACTGGAGAAATGATCTGAAACAAATAGGATGAAAAATGCAAAGCACTACACTTTGGGAGGAATAATTAACTGTACAGATACAAAATGGGAAATGACTGCCTAGCAAGGAGTATTGCAGAAAAGGAGCTGGGACTTATAGTGGATCATCAACTAAATGAGTCAACAAGTAATACTCTTGGAAAGAAAGAAAGAAAGAAAGAAAGAAAGAACGTCATGCTGGGATGTATTAGCAGGAGTGTTGTAAGCAAGACACAAGTAGTAATTCTTCCGCTCTACTCAGCATGGATGAGGCTTCCACTGCAGTACTGTGTCCAGTTTCTGGCACCACACTTCAGGAAAGATGTGGAAAAATTGAGAAAGTCCAGAGGAAAGCAACAAAAATGAGTAAACATACATGACCCAGGAGAAAAGAATGAAAAAATTGGGTTTGTTTAGTCTGGAAAAGAGAAGACTAAAGGGGGACATGATAACAGTCTTCAAGTATGCAAAAGACTGTTATAAAGATGAAGGTGATAAAGTGTGCTCCTTAACCACTGAGGACAGGACAAGTAGTAATGGGTTTAAATTGCTGCAAGGGATGTTTAGGTTGGACATTAGGAAAAGCTTCCTAACTGTCAGGATGGTTAAACACTGGAACAAATTACCTAGGGAGGTTGTGGAGTCTCCCTCATTGGAGATTTTTAAGAACAGGCTAGACAAACACCTGTCAGGGAGGGGCTAGAGCAATGCTCGTCACAATTTTTGAAGTGGGGGCCACTCTGGCAAAAAACCTTCAATGTGAGAGCCACATCAACTGCTAAATTAACACACTGCTTGCTACTCCTTAATGATGTAATGTTACAGAGCCACTCATGTAACTAAAACAAAGTCTACTTGTACAATAAAACGATATTCCTTTTATAAAATAATAACCAGGAAAATATATGGAATTAAAAAGGCACCTATGCTAGTAAACTTTTTAAGAGCAGCATAATGCAAAACTTACTTTAAAAACTGGATGAGCGAAAGTGCGCTTGTTCTTCTTTGACTTCGTTCATGCGGTATTTGTAATCTGTCATCGCAATCCTAGTAAGACAGTCCAAATGTTCCGTGGTCAATTTGTTCCCCTGTTTTCTTTTCATAATATTCATTGTTGAAAATGTGGATTCGCAGGTATACATACAGACAAAAAATGACAGCATTTTTTGCACACGATGTTTCAGAGATGGATATTGTGTATCAGGAACCATGTTCCAGAAATGATAAACACCTGTCTTAAATTCAGACTTCATGTTGTCATTTGTCTGAAGTTCCACAATTTCACTCCCCAGTTTAGCACAGTCAGAACAAATGTCTATGATAACTGGTGACAGAGATGTCACTGACACATGGAAGGGGTTCTCAATTAAATGAAAAAACTCCTTGTACTCCATTACGTCTTTGAATCGAGACTCTAATTCCACCCTCAATTCTCCCACTACTTGTACAAATGAATTGTAATTGAAATGTTTCAAAAGCTCGGGATTTTCTGAGGTAACTGCTCTGAGTTTTGGAAAGTGAACAAACTGTGTGTCGGGAATGAATAATGTCGTAATCTTGTTTTGAAAAGCAGTTACGAAACGCAGCATGTTACTAGGAAGTTTCTGTTTCCCTTGCAACTGGAGATTTAGTGCATTCAGACGGCAAGTGATGTCAGTCAATAATGCCAGCTTAATTATCCACTCTGGATTTTCTAAGTCTTTCTCCTTCTTCTCCTTGCTTTCAAGGAATTCATGAATCTGAAGAAGGAGACACAAAAATCTTTCAAGGACCCTGCCACAAGATAACCATCTCACTTGATTGTGCATCAGTAGGTCACAATACTCTGTCTTATATTCTTCCAGTAATGCTCGAAACTGCCAGTGATTCAGCACTCTTGAAACAATAAAATTGACCACCTTTGCAACCAACTGCATGACACTTTGCATTTCACTATTTTTTAGTTTACCCACAATTGCTTCTTGGTGTATAATGCAATGAAACACGGCGATTTGGGTATTTCCTTTTGTTCCCTCATCAGGCCAATCAATCCATTCTCCTTCCCTTGCATATTTGGTGCACCGTCTGTACACAGTCCAAGTTATTCTCAGCAAAAAAATCGAGTAGGGCAGTCAAAATGTTTTCCCCTTTTGTTAGACCTTTCAAAGGTATTAAACACAGCAGTTCTTCCCGGAATAATTCTTCTTTGGGGAAACAAACCCAGACACACAATTGTGTGACGTCACATATATCTGTATTTTCATCCACTGCTATGCTAAAACACGGTGCTGACAAAATATCGGCGGTTAACTGTTGTCAGATTTCTTTTCTGACTTCCTCCATCCTACTCATTATGGTTGTGTCAGACAGTTTGCAGCCCTTTTATTTGCTTTAGGATTGCATTTTTTTTATTGAAATCAGCATACAGGATTTCTGCAGAAGCCAGAAAACACTCTTTAATGACCTCTGTGTCAGTAAATGCCTTTTTATGTCTTGCTAAAATCCATGCGATTTCACAAGATGCGTCTGTCAAACATCCTGCAATGGACCTTGATCTCTGTATTATTGTTTGCTGGCCTTTTAGTGAAACAGCAAGTTGTTCAATTTTACTTTTTCTTAGTGTAAGTGGGGAGGGCAATGGTCCCCCTATTGTAGGGAACTCTCCTGGCTTATACACCACCCCGGTGAAATGGGCTAGCGAAAGGATCTGAGCCCTCGCTCCCACTTCCTTTACCCAGGGCTCCCCTTCCACTCTCCCATATGACAGAGCCCTCATAACCCCAACAAGACTGGGCCCAGGATTCCTGGGGGGCTCGACCCCCAACCTTGTTGTGGTCACTTAGGTAGGGGCTAGGGTATCCCCACTCTGGGGTGCTCTCTCTGCACTGGATGTTTCCCTGACCCACTGATCATTACATATAGTTCAAAGCAAATACAATTTATTAAGTAGCAATCAATTAAAAAAAAAAAGCAAGAAATGGGAAAGGTTAAAGGAAAACACGTCACCCGCTCTGTGGCACGGGGACGTCACAACCAGGTCTCTGGAATGTCAGGGCAGTTCACAGTCTGTTCCTCACACGTCCCAGGCCTCCTTCTCAGGCCCCGGCTGTGCTGCAGGGATGCTGCGGGTCGGACACTTGCTCTGGCGGTGGCCACACGCTCTAGGTGGCAGGACCCTTCTTCCCAGCATTGCCCCCGCCTTGTCGGGGTTATGATTCCCCTCCAAGCCTGGCCTGCAGGGCTTCTTGGCTGGGGGCACCTCCCTGCGCTGGGCCAGCTGCCCAGGGTCCCCCTTGTTCTCACCAGTTGCTCACAGCACCCGGCTCCAGACTGCTCCAGCCCCAGCCCCAGCTCCAGCTCCAGCTCTATCACTCTATCTCAGCACCACTGTTGCTGCTGCTCTGCCTCCAGCTCCCTGGGCTGCTTCTCTGGCCCCTCTGGCTCTGGTTGCTGCAGCTCTGCTCCCAGCACAGGTCTGCTCTGTGGCCTCTTCGGTGACTCTGCTCCCAGCACTGACCTGCTTCCTGGGCTGCTTCTCTGGCCCCTCTGGCTGGCACAGCTCTGCTCCCCAGCTCAGCTCGGGGCCCCTGCTTTCTCCTTAGCTCGGCCCCACTCTGTCTGACCCAGGCAATTCCAGCTCACA